AGCCTCATTCTTTTTTTTTCCCACCTCACCAATTATAGCCCAACCCCCCCCCCCCCCCCCCCCCATCTGTCTATCCAGAGGAAGGACATCATCATATAATATCAAATAGCAAAACCCAAAAAAAAAAAAATTCACCTGCCTATTTCTCAACAGATGAGTTCTATCGCTGTGCTCGTTTCGTTTCGTGCCAGTTAGACAGTTTCCCATGTAATAAAAAGATTCGCCCAACGTTTGGTTTGGTTTAAAAAAAACAGGACGCCGTGTGCTCCATGCCGCACAAATTTATTCAATCAGAAAAAGGTGGTGTAATTGTAAAATGTTCGACGAAGAATGGATTCCGAAAAGGACAAAAGGATATTTAGGCCTTTACTGAGTACTCGCGCTTGAACATGTCGTCGACCTTTTCCAGGTAGTAGGTGCCGGGGGCGATGGTGGAGGCATCGCCCTTGGGGGTGTAGTTCTTCTGGAGGTGAGCCTGCTTTCGGAGGTTGCACATCTAAACGAGTCGAGTTAGCATACTCGGTCGGGAAATAATTGGTCTGCAGTCAAGTCAAAACATACCTCATCATAAGTCTCAGGAGGGACGGCGCGGCGGGCCTCCAGACGGGCGGGAATGTCCAGAGTCTTGCCAATGGTCTCGACGCTGCCGACGATGCGGAGAGACAAGAAAGTGGCGGCGAGACCAGAGCCGTAGCTGAAAAGACCAACTCGCTTGTTCTCGAGAGCCTTGCTGTCGGCAAAGGACAGCAAGCTGGCGAGCCCACCCCAGACACTGGCGCAGTACATGTTGCCGCACAGAGTGGCCACCTGGATGGCGGGGTTGACGCGCTCCTGGTAGCGCTTCTTGGTGAGGGTCATGAAGGTCTTCTCGAGAGCCTTGTCGGTCAGGGACTTCTCGTAGTCCATGTCACGCAGCTCAGGGGCGACCTCGGCAAAGGCAGCGGCATCGGCATTGCCCAGGAAGTCGTGGTACAGCAGTCTGGCGTACGACTTCTGGACCAGCTTGCAGGTGGGGGCGTGGAAGGCAAGGTAGTCGAAGCGGTCCAGGGGCGTCTTGGACTCGTCGACGCCGTTGGCGGTGCCGTTGGCCAGCTTGGCCTCCTTCTTGCAGTAGTCACGGTAGGCGGCGTCGAGGGCCTTGGTGTAGCAAGTGAGGGAGAAGTGGCCGTCGACGACGGGGTACTCGCTGGTCAGGTCGGGCTTGTAGAAGTCGTAGGCGTGCTGCATGTAGCTGCCACGCAGACCGGGCTCGACAACAATAGGAGCGTTAGGGCCAACGAGAATGGCGACGGCACCAGCGCCACCGGTGGGGCGGGCAGCACCCTTTGCGTAGAGGGCAATGTCACCGGCAACGACAATGGCATCGCGGCCGTCCCAGGCGGAGGACTCGACCCAGTTGACGCTGTTGAGGAAGGCGTTGGTGCCGCCGTAGCAGGCGTTGATGGTGTCGACGCCCTCAATGTTGGTGTTGTCGCCAAACAGCTGCATCAGGACCGACTTGACCGACTTGGACTTGTCGAGGATGGTCTCAGTGCCAACCTCGAGGCGGCCGATGGAGTTGACGTCGACGTTGTAGTTCTTGAGCAGTCTTGAGGTGACGGTGAGGGCCATTGAGTAGATATCTGGGGCACGAGTCTCGAGTCAGTCCCAAAAGTTCAGGAGAAGAGAGGGCATCTCAAAGCTTACCCTCACGGTCGTCGCAAAAGGCCATCTTGGTCTGGCCTAGACCAATGGTGTACTTGCCAGCGGCAACGCCATCGAACTTTTCGAGCTCGACCTGGTCGACATACTGTTTGGCAGACTCATTGTCAGCGACTCTTGTATTATTGAGGGGGGGAGTTGTCTCGTGAGATGTGGAATGGAGGGGCAATTTTGGGGGGGAAACCAACCTGGCTGGGGAAGTAAATCTCAATGGCCTTGATGCCAATGTTCTGAGGACGAGCGGCCATCTTGCAAGTGGACTGTAAAAGTGCAATTGAGCTTGAACTTTGGGGTATCTGTGAGGTGAAAGGAGAGAATGGGCGAGAGGAAAGTGAAGCTCGTGAGGGAATGAATGTCGACTTGGCGGATGGGGAACGTGGCGGCGTGCTTGGGCATTTAAATGTTTTCACCGCCCTTTGTGGCAGGCGGTGCGCATCGCTGCAGCGCCTGAGCTGCAGCACAAACAGGGGACTTGCAGCGGCTTCTGCCAGGGGTCGCGCCACGGTGGGTTTAGTGGGTTTAGCTGCGTGGACTACCGCCAGAAAGATGGTGGGGAGGGGCCGTTTCTCTGTCTGTCTCTGGTTTGGCGGCCAGCCGTGAAATTGGGCAGAAAAAAAAAGAAGAAAACAAATCGCGACTACGAGTACGGAGTACGGCAGAGGTACGAATACCTTTGCGCCTGGGCATCCAGATACGAGAGCGCAAGTACTCGTACCTCTACAGACACACTCACATCACGCACACACATGCGAGTTATAATGAATGGATGGATGGCTTCACATCCCTGCTTCTAATTGTTTATCTCTCCACGCATCCTTTGATCTTTATCTCTCTCTTCTCCCGTCAACCAAAGAAATGTCTGTTGGGGGGCGGACACAGGTACGGAGTACACGTTACTAGATCCAATCTAACCAGCACTCTTACTCGCACCAGAGATTACACGTCTTGTTGCTACCGTGTCTCCTTTTTTTCCCTTTTTTTTTTGCTTCTTCTTCCTTCTCTCCGTTGCACCGCTCCATATTTCATTCGCATTAGCCTAACCGTTAGACCGGCTCTTGTCTCGTCAGAATCGGGGCCTTGGATGCCAGAAGCTGTTGGGTTAGTCCAGAGCCTCTGCTGTACTCGTACTGACTTGTACTATCAATACTATTCCCATCCCTCGATTGCAGAATCTCACCATCAGCACGCTGTGTTGTCAAATGCCCCACTGCATGTGGCCTAGGCTTCTTTTTTATCGCTCGTTGCCCTCCAGAGATCAGTGATGCTTCTTCAGCGCGCCAATCCTGCGCCAGTTGGGCTCCACCGCCATCGAGAGACTACTGTCCTCTTGGCCAGCCCGGTGGAATCTCACCTTCGCCCATCTAGATAGTAGCCGTACCGTACCCGGCTGTGTGTTATGTACAGTAGATCCTACACACAAGTAAAGTGAAGCATCAAAAAGCATCATAGCGTGTCAACTCTCATGCTACTCGTGCGACTCTCGGTATTGCAGGATGAATGGTTGGATGAATCCAGAGCCTTACGAGGACTCATAACGACGCATCCCCTCGTGGCGAACAGCGAGGCTCAAGCTGATCGCAAGGCTATTTGCCGTGCTCTCCTCCCCCCTGCCGTCAGCCTCTGCCCTCCAAGACGCATCATTGACCGTGCTCCCTGGCCGTGCACAGCTGAATTCCTGGCTGGCTCAACGGCCGTTTCCTGTTTCTGCACTGATTAAGTCTTTTCCGAAAGCTGCCTTTTACCGGGACACAGCTTCTCCTCCGTATGGTGACATCTGTGCCCCGCCCCCGTGTCCCAATGCTTCTGCAGTGATACCCCTCCATGCAATTTACCTGTATTGTGCGTGCAACCTTGGAAATACACATACGTACTCTGTCTGTTTAGGGATTGTTCATTCATCATCATCTCGTATCATACATATCTAAACACTGAGCTATGGAATCGCCATTACCGATCAACCAATGTCCAGCCTCATCAAGCAGCAACAAACATGAAGAAAACAAGCTTGAAGCTTGGACCTACAGAGTGTGTACCTGTTTCGGTATTCCCGCGATGCCGCTCGGATTCCGGGCCGGCCCCACTTCCGGGCGGCACCAGATTCGGACGCAAGCGAGAACACGGCGTTTTAGCTGTCTGTCTGAATCAACCCCCAGATCAAGTACCAGGTACGAAGCAGTCTATAGCAAAACACAAAGGAAAAGCCACTTTCACCTGGTAGTTCTACCTATGAGATAACCGCCATGATGTGTCGCATTTTATCAGATTGGCATCACATTCAATCGATGCCGTGCCGCATGAAACATTGGGAAATTGAAGACAGGTAGCCAACCACAAAAAAAAAAAAAAGGTGCGAATACGAATACCTTCCCGTAAAATATCTAAAACAGGTAAAAACCGCAAAGGACAAAGTACGTACCTACTTTTGGACTAGCAGCCCGAAATACGAATACGCCCCCGATTTAATTGCGGTAATTACACACTTTGCCAGTTCGCCCCCACACCGCCTTGTTCGTCCATTGGCTGAGCGTGCGGCAGATCTGCTTTTCGCATTTGATGGGTTTCCGGCCGTACTCGCAACCGATTCTGTATGAACTTGCATATCGATAAAATCAGAAAGGCCAGCCTCCGACTTACGCTGCATCTGATATCGCATTTACGAATCCTCCTCGGATTTTGCCGTCTTAGGCGCATCGAGTTTTTCTCGTATTACAATCACATATCAAAATGTAACTTTTGCGTTCTCTATTCTCAATCCTTTTTCTCTTTCCCATTAAAATTGAGGCTTGATTGGTACGAAGCTCAACGTGAAACTTCGCACGTTTCGGCCCGAGTTTTGATAGCAACCACACGTGGGCTATCAAAAGATCAAACGAAGCTAGGTACTATACTTCCTGAGAAAGCTGCGATGGGTACTAAGTAGACAATACACGTAGTTGTATATGCACACACAACACGTTCATACCGTCCGCGGCTCGCGCGAAGAACAGAAGTCACTACTTACAAGGATTCAATACTCACAATAAACAAATTACTCCAATAGAGTTTGATGCTCGCGGCGGTTGTTTGTCAATGACTTCCAATGACACGGTCGTATAGTCAACGTAGATAGCCATGAAGCGAAAGAGCAGTCTCGATCTTTAAAAAACGTTCAAGATACCTTCACGTGTCGCAGGGTTTCTGGTAATGCTTGACTTTCTCCCCGGTTTGTCATGTCCAAGGGATGTTCGGAATCGGGCTACAAAGCCAAGGGTACTGAAGCAAGTCTATACTCAACTGCCTCTGTCAACAAGAGGTCGCCCAATTCGACTTCTTCCAGTTCACGTTGGGACGAGTATATTTTAGCATTGATGGTCCGTAATACAACTTCCATTTTGGCCATGTTATTTCCTGAGCAATTACCCAAAGAGATACGATCCAGCATGAAAGACGCCCAGAAGCTACAGAACGAAATATGACTCCATCAGAGATTCTGGGGCAATCTACGTAATATGCTACGAGAATACTCTGGATAGAAATGGAATTCAGAGGGAGATTTCGGCAGGATCTCCAATTATTGAAAAGACTTGAACTTTGGAAGGCGGCAGGTACTGTCTCAGAGAGCCCGGTAAAGGGAAGACCATGTATCAATCTGCGCAGTGTTCATCTTACAATTTGCATTTGAAATTTAGAATTAAACTTCTCTTCTATAGGATGAAACATTAGTTGATTCATACAAATATGAAACAAAATTTGCCAAATAAAAACAACACAAGATTATTCTAGTTGGCACATGAACATAAAATGTCCCTTATAGATTGACCATCGCTTGCTTCAGTGTATTACACCGATTTCATGATTTAGGCTTCGTAATTATAGTGAAAATTAAAGAATTCAACGCTCAAAACAAGTGACGCGTCTCATTGATCTCATACGCCTTCTCAACTTGCCTCATCATTTATTGAAAGCTAGGATTATTCGCTACAGAGATAGGCTTTTGATACAAGAAAAGGATCCCGTTGGCCTAGATACATGGAAAAAAAAGACAAAGTATTCATCCCAAAATGACCATTGGCTGTGCCGGCCGCTTCGTCCCTGGGGAATTGCGGTCGTGGTCCTTGTACCGGCCTGCGGAAGCTAGGGCTCATGTACTTAGCTGTTAGTGTCAGGTGTTATGTCCAGAGGTAGCGTTGGTTGACTCAAGTTTAGAGCTGTGTTCCTTCGCCGTCGAAAAATTACATATACTTACTATATATGTATAGGCTTGTGACAAGCTGACAAGCTGAAGGTGCAAAACTCTCTGTGTATTACTATGCTGATTAGTCTATGAAAGAAGCAAAGGCTAGCTGCAAACAACAGCACACATAAAGTGGGCTTGATCAAGGAAAGTGATCACACAGATCCTCGTGACAACTCAACAGTTTGCTCGAATGTACCTCTCTAGTCCCCCGGTATGTTTACTTAACCCATCATGGAGCAGTTCATAAAGGCGAAAGCATTGTTTGTCAATGATTTCTATAATATGCCCTGTATCCGGAGCGTTGAAAAAGGCCTGAATGGTTACTTTCTTCAACCGGCCGTCTGCATGAGCCTGTTCTCCGGAAAGGAGTTGCTTCTCTCGAAAGTGTTGAAAACAGGGGCACCGACTTAGTAGAAGTCTTGGTGCTTGATTGAACAGGGGTCAGTCCAGCCACCGGGCATAAGTAGGAGATCTCACCCAGCAAGCTTCAGTGATAGACCAAGGCCACTTGACATACATGTCATCAGGAAGGAACTATTTGAGCGCTGATTTTGTGCCCACTGAAGCGAGTCAACATGCATTTTCTGGTGTATATATGTGTATAAATGTATCAATAGAAGGATAGGGAGTAGACATACTGTATCTATATAGCCAAAATCTTCTATAAGACTTCGATATATTTCATCAACTCGACGCCCGATCCAAAAGACTGGAGTTGACTTGAGAGCGTCATGGGTCAGCTGAAGCTTTGAAGCAATCCGCAACACAAGGCACCGGCGTTCTGAGTCCAAGCTTTTATCGTTGCCAATCTCGATAAGAGCTCTGGAGATGGTGATTGCTGACTGCACAAAGCAATCGCGTCTTTCCGGGCGCTCGTCTCCATTTTGTCTCTACCCATGAAAGCAAAAACAAAGGGATTCTTTGTTTCCCGGATATTGCAGGATACATCTACCCCGCTTGATTATTGTACCTTGATGATGAAAGAAACGATGACAGACAAAATGTGAACAAAGGTATAACCCCAGCCATTGTTCTCACCCTCCTTCCCCTACACGCAGATAAGTATAAAAAGGCCTGGATGCTGAATATCATCCAACTTTGATGAACACATCTCAATCGCCTTCTTCAACTCAGCCTTATAAACCATTCCGACGTTTTCTTCTTCTACTTCTTCTTCTTCCTTTTGACAATACGTTTTCATCCACGTTTGACATCAAAGACATATACAACCTCGTTCTTGATCAATCAGAGCATATCAGTTCTCACCATGTCCAACTCTCAGCCCGTTTCTGATCTTTCGCAGCAATGCTCGGATAACTCTCCTCCGGCTAAAGAGCAAGGATATCCAGAGGCGGCCCAGATCCTAACAGAATTGCCGGAAAAGCATGAGTCCATGCCAGGTCGTCGTGTACAGGAAACTGTCAAAATCGAAGATGGCGCCGCAGCAGTAGAGATTATCATTCAGGGCAGCGGCTTGCGTGCTTTTGTTGACCCCCTATTGGAGCCTCTCTGTTTCGACCTCGTGGGCACTTTGCCGCAAATGGTTCCAACTTTCAGAGTCGCTTATAGCCATGACGGAAAATATATTGCGACTGGCGATGACATGGGAAACGCCTATGTTTTTGATGCTGCCAACAAACGGATCGTGCTCCAAAAGGGCGTGGAGGTAAAGGAACTTGTATCCTCTCCCGTTTGTTTCAGCCCCGATGGGCAATCTTTCATGTTTGCGTCCGGTGGACTCGTCCAGGTAAGCAAGTCCGTCGATCCGATCACCAGTTATGAAGTACTGACGCAGCATCAACAATGGAGGTGTGTGACATTGCAACAAAAACCGTTCGACGCCTTTTCGATCACAAATCGGGCGCGTCTGCACTCGATGTCTCAAAGGATGGCCGTTGGCTCGCATCCGGCGATTTCTGTGGCACGGTTCACATTTGGGACTTGGAACAAAGAGTCGAAAGTGTTGGAAACAAAAAGGTTGAAGCCCAGGGGACTATTGCGGCTGATCTTCCAAAAGAACCCAAGGAATTCACCGAAGGCAACGCCTATATATTCGACGTCAAGATATCTCAAGACAGCTGTTTTGTGGCCGCAGTTGGCGACGATGACTATGCTCATGTATGGAACTTGAAGACGGGGGAGCTTGTTGCAAAGTTCTACCATGGGAAAAGAGTCAGGTCAGTAGCTCTCTCTTCAGACGGTAAATTCCTAGTTACTGGAGGAGATTCCGACTTCAAAGTATGGAATCGAGACACTGGCGCGTGTCGTTCATACCATGAAGCTCTTGGATCTGGGTTGACTGCATTGTCAATGACGCCGGACGACCGGTGGATTGTAACCGCCTCCAACCGCGGGTTGATCCGGTTTTGGGATCTAGCAACGGGGAAGAGTCACTGCATAGTCGATGCACACAAGAAAATCATCTACTCGATAGCGTTCAAACCGGGAGGCGGTTCTTTCGTGACAGTTTCCAAGGACAAGACGGTGCGTGTGTGGTCATACGGCTCGCGTAGGACATAGGTAGAGTGGAGGAGTACTACTAGCTATATGCACTATATGTGTAGTAGTGGCGTATCTGCTCAAAGATAACAGAGGGGGACTGCTTCTCTTGATGGCTATGATAAACTGCAAGGATGGATTCAAATTTTGCCATATTAATAAAAGGGTTCACTGGAATAAATGAATTACCAAACAAATGAAGAAAAAAGGCAATCTCAAAGTGAATCTCAAAGTAAAGTCGACGTAAAATGTAATATATACCTAGTATATATATAATATATACACATACAAAGCTCAGTTGATAACACGTTGGTACCCGAGGTGGAAGATTCCGGCCATGAAGGAAAGCAACATGGAAGTCGCTCCGTGCGGTATTTTCGCGGGGGCGGTACATCGGTACATGCGAAGGAGCTGGGCACCCGGGCTCCGATTATTTCCCTCGCTGGTTCCCGTTTCCCCGGCATTTGTTGAGCCGGTGAGCTACATGTATCCTTGCTCTTATTTTTTCTCGCCGTGTTCTTTTCTTCTTCTTTTTTCTTCTTCTTGATACAACAGCTGTCTTCTATTCTAATAACAAACAGTGGAATACTGCGATTGGCCTGTACAGTGCACGATTTGCGCCGTCCAATTCGACCCAATTGACCGACTATCCTCGCCTCTTCTTTTATTTTTGTATACGGCAAATCGACACCAAAAAACAAAAAATGCTTCGGAGAGCGTCGGCAAGAGCTGCGTCGGGTGCGATCGCCGGGTCTCGCCTGTGGCAGAAAAGCGCCTCCCCTCTCTCTCACAGCCTCACCCCGCAGAGCATCAACTCCAACATCACCTTCAGCCTCTGCCAAAAATCGATCCCCGCCAGCCTCAGAGCCCTTCACGCCACCAGAGTCACCATGGCCGACAAGCGAGTCGAGAGCGATGCCTTTGGCGAGATTGAAGTGCCCGCCGACAAGTACTGGGGCGCCCAGACGCAGCGGTCGCTGGGCAACTTCAAGATCAACCAGCCGCAGGACCGCATGCCGCCGCCGGTGATTACGGCCTTTGGCATTCTCAAGGGCGCCGCGGCCACGGTCAACATGCGCTACGGACTGGGTACGTGTGCACAGGAATAGCTTCGGGAGTTGGAGGAAACAAAACAAAAAAAAAACACAACAAAGGCAGAATGCTAATGACAGCTCTTCTTCACGCCCGACAGACCCCAAGATTGGCGAGGCCATCCAGCAGGCCGCCAAAGAGGTCGCCGACGGCAAGCTGCTCGACCACTTCCCCCTCGTCGTCTGGCAGACCGGCTCCGGCACCCAGTCCAACATGAACGCAAACGAAGTCATCTCCAACCGCGCCATTGAGATACTCGGCGGCACCATGGGCTCCAAGAAGCCCGTCCACCCCAACGACCACGTCAACCGCAGCGCCTCGTCCAACGACACCTTCCCCACCGTCATGCACATTGCCGCCGTCCTCGAGCTGGAGCGCGACCTGCTGCCCGCCCTGCACAGCCTCCGAGCTGCTCTGCAGGCCAAGGTCGACGAGTTCGAGGCCAAGAAGATTATCAAGATTGGACGCACCCACTTGCAGGATGCCACTCCCCTGACCCTGGCCCAGGAGTTCTCCGGCTACGTTGCCCAGCTCGACTTTGGCATCAAGCGTGTCGAGAGCTCTCTGCCCGACCTGAAGCTGCTGGCCCAGGGCGGCACCGCCGTCGGCACCGGCATCAACACCTTTGAGGGCTTCGCCGAGGGCATCGCCGAGGAGGTCAGCAAGATGACCGGCATCACCTTCCAGACTGCTCCCAACAAGTTTGAGGCCCTGGCTGCCCACGACGCCGTCGTCCAGGCTCACGGAAGCCTCAACACCCTGGCCGCCTCTCTCACCAAGATTGCCCAGGACATCCGATACCTGGGCAGCGGTCCCCGATGCGGTCTCGGCGAGCTGGTCCTGCCCGAGAACGAGCCCGGCAGCAGCATCATGCCCGGAAAGGTCAACCCCACGCAGTGCGAGGCGCTCACCATGGTCTGCGCTCAGGTCATGGGCAACAACGTCGCCACGACCATTGGCGGCATGAACGGCCAGTTTGAGCTCAACGTGTACAAGCCGTTGATTATCCGCAACCTGCTGCACAGCTCGCGCATCCTTGCCGACGGAATGCGGTCGTTTGAGGAGAATCTCGTTGCCGGGCTGCAGGCCAACGAGGAGAAGATTGCCAGCATCATGAAGGAGTCGTAAGTCTCTTTGTTACTCTTGATACCTCTCAGATTGCATAGGTAGCTAACTTTGGTCATAGTCTCATGCTGGTCACCTGCCTCAACCCCAAGATTGGCTACGACATGGCCAGCAAGGTGGCCAAGAACGCGCACAAAAAGGGCCTGACGCTGAAGCAGAGCGCCATGGAGCTGCAGGCGCTGACTGAGCAGGAGTTTGATGACCTCGTTAAGCCCGAGCTCATGGTTGGACCCAAGAAGGTGTAAAAGCAATCCGGCATAGACAGTGTATCATTAATAGTGTATAAAGCATCACGGCATAGCTTGTATCAATAATCAAAATAAACAATACCAACCAAAAATATTTGACCATTTCCGTGTATTAATCTATTCTGTTCATTGCACACCACATGTACAAACAAAGAAGAAGCAATTACACACTGCTTGACCGACGACTCTGTATAGGTACTCGTAAGTCCAAATGCTCACCCATTTCCATTTGAGGCAATTCGGCGACCCACTTTATCGTCGTCACTGTCTTTTCAGCAAATGCACCGCTGTGGTGCAGCTGCACGTGACCAAACGGAAAATTTGCTTATCCACTAGCCCGATCGATAAGCTCTTCACCCATGGCTATCGCCAACTTTTTTTTTTTCTTCCTCCTCCGAGGAAGCGCATCTTCGTTCCATCACTCATCCAACTTTTTTTTTTCTCCAAACCTCCCTCAAAACACACATCCGGCCGTGAGCCTTGTTCGGGCGAGCCCCCCCTTTTTTATCCCTACACCGTGAAAAATGTCAAACGCCAATGAAGCAGGTAAGCTATACGCTCTTTTTTCTCCCTCTCAATGGCTTTGGGGCTAACGGGTTGGTTTCTCTTTTTTTTTTGCAGCTTGGCCCTTGGCCGATGCGGCCTTGACCCAGGAGATTCTGGATCTCCTCCAGTCGGCCATGCACATCCGTCAGGCTAAGAAGGGTGCCAACGAAGGTATGTTTTGGTTCCCTCGACAATTCTGGCTTCTTTCAATTCGAGGTTGCAATGATGGCTGACTGTTTCAACTTGTAGTCACCAAGGCTATCAACCGTGGAACCTGCGAGCTTGCCGTCCTTGCCGCCGACACCGAGCCCCTGGCCATCATCCTGCACATCCCCCTCATCTGCGAAGACAAGGGCGTCCCGTACGTCTACGTCCCCAGCAAGACTCTGCTGGGCCGTGCGTGCGGTGTGAGCCGTGCCGTGATTGCCGCCAGCATCAGCTCCAACGAGCTGTCTGAGCTGTCTGGCCAGATCAAGGCTCTGCAGCAAAAGGTCGAGAGACTGGCCATTTAAAGCTGGGATATGCTGGCGAGTCTTTTTTTCGGCGCTGGATTGAGGCTCGGAGCGGTTGCGTGGTTGGAATACCTAGGTAGCCATGGCTGTGCATCTGGCTTTTGTTTTTACACGTTTAGTTACGATGTAAATGTCGGTGCAACGATCTTAGATGAGCAGGGCCAATTGACATTTTCTTCACCTGGGATAGAATTCCCTGTGTGTTGAGCTGAGCAGCTTTGACTGGTTTTTCTCTTGACATGTGATTTGATGATGACGATGATGATGATGATGTGCGTATCAAAGCTCTCCCGACTCCTTACCTAACGACACAGCACTCGTACTCGTCTCTAGGCATGATGAGGACATTTAAAAAGCCATCGAGTCCAAACCCAGCCTAGACCGATCAGTCATCACTCAGAACTTGTGAAGCCAACGGACCAAAAAAAAAAAAAAAAAAAAAAAAAAAAAAAAAAAAAAACCAGGCAGGGATTCATGTGTAAGACGCTAGAATTTTCCGTAAATTGGCGGCCCAGCGCCGCTCATTCGTCCGCCCGGACAAAGGCGCAGCGGGCGGAGTTAGTGCAAGCGCCGCTTAGTATCTTTGATTGCTTTGCGGGCCGCGCAGGTCCGATGAAGTGCGGGTTTATTAGGTACCTTAGTCAGTCTAATACTCGTAATATAAGCGATGGCTGTATGTACTGGAGAGCGGCCGAGTACCTATGATGGACTGACTGGACTGGACTGTGGTGTACTTTGTAGCAGGCTGGCGGTTGTTGGTCGATGAAGAACGGACAAATTAGATAATTCAAAGCAAACATTTCTCTTTGAATCCTCCCAAAACGGACTGTCCAGCCACGCCGAATCCCGTCAAGCCAGCAGAATCCTTGCACTAAAACCAAATGAATCCCTTGCCAAAAAGAGGAAGAAGATTCAATCGGACGAGCTCAGCTCCAGCTCCGCAAGGGTTCCCTTTTTTTTTTCTTGGTGCCGGACTCGCACTCGCTTGTATTAACTTAACTCCGTCAACATCTCCCTCCCTCTGCTTGTTTCTGCTCAGCCCGCAGCCCTACAGTCGGTAAACGGAGGTAACCCAGATGGACAAAGGATGTAGGACGAAGGAGGAACGTGGCATTGACATTAGTGGTAGTATGTGGTTTTGAATCAATTTTCGAGGCGGACGGAATTGGGTCTAATCCGCGTTGAGGTAAAACTCATGCGGACCAACACATTCATAGCCCATAGTCCATGATGAATCATTTTTACTTTTTTTTCTCTTTTTCTTTTCGGCTTGCTTTGCTGGATTGTGGCTTGCAATGAGGAGCATGACGCAGCTCATCCTTCCATCGATCCATCCGTCGCCCGAGCCCAGAGTCCAGAGGCCAGACGTGGAGTGAATCTTTCCCATCCCATCCCAGCCCAGTCCCTTGTTTCCCTTTTTCCACCCCCAGTCAATCCCATTGGGCATGTCCGTGAGAAGAGTTGTCGAGTAATACCGAGTATATAATATAGAGTCGATAACTTTCCCTCTTTTCGTCTCTCTCTTCTCTCTTCTCCTCCATCTCTAATGTCGCAGTTCCGCACGCAGCTCCTCCCCAAGCTGTGGCAACGCTACAACACCATCAGCCTCACCCTCAACACCATCACCAGATCCTCAAACTCCAATTCAAACTCCAGTAACAACACAAACACAAGCACAAACAAACGCATCTCGCTCTTCGTCTTCGTCTTTGCCGCCGCAGCAACGGCAACCACCGCCACAGCCATGACGCGCAAATCAACATCCACAATCTCTTCCCACCCATCCTCTTCTCACCAACACTCATCATCATCAACGTCTGTCGTCAAAATCGCCGGCCGCAACAACATCCCCGCCGAAGCCCTCTCCAACCCTCACCACATCCTCAAGCGCGGCGGCTCCATCTCCGGCTTCAAAAACCCGTACCCGTCGTGGTCCAACCCGCCCAGCGTCACAAACATGTGGCAGACCGTCTTCTGGCCCACCATCACCGGCGACCTCAAATGGCCCGACACGAAACCTCCCACCGTGCCCGTTGTCCCGCCTCAATGGCTTCCCGCTCGTGACGCCTCCGACAAGCTGCGCGCGACATGGCTGGGCCATGCGTGCTACTACGTCGAGTTCCCCTCTGGCCTGCGTGTTCTCTTCGACCCCGTGTTTGAGGATCGCTGCTCGCCCTTCACCTTCATGGGGCCGAAGCGCTTCACCCCGAAGCCCTGCGACCTCGAGGACATCCCCGTCGTCGACGCCGTCGTCATCAGCCACAGCCACTACGACCACCTGTCGCACTCGTCCGTCCTCGAGATCCAGAAACACCACCCCGACGTGCACTTCTTCGTCGGGCTCGGCCTCGAATCCTGGTTCCGCCGCAGCGGCCTCACCAACGTCACCGAGCTCGACTGGTGGGAAGACGCCACTCTCACCGTCACAACCCCCATCGACGGCGGCCAGAAAAAGTCCATCTCGGCGCAAATCTCGTGCCTCCCCTGTCAACACACATCCGCCCGCACCGCCTTCGACAAGGACACGACGCTCTGGTGCTCCTGGGGCGTCAAATCCGGCGACAAGAACGTCTGGTTCGGCGGCGACACGGGCTACCGCGCCGTCCCGCATCTCCCCGCCAGCGTCGACGACTACGGCCCCGAGTACGAGTCGCTGCCGCGGTGTCCGCAGTTCAAGCAGATTGGCGAGCACCGCGGGCCGTTTGACCTGGGCCTGATCCCCATCGGCGCCTATTACCCCCGCGCTGCGTTTTCCGCCATGCACGCGAATCCGTTTGACTCGGTCGAGATCTTCCAGGACACCAAGTGCGAAAAGGCCATGGGGATTCACTGGGGCACGTGGGCGTTGACGATGGAGGAGGTGCTGGAGCCTCCGAGGCAGCTCAAGGAGGCGATGAAGCGAAAGGGCATTGCGGAGGAGGGCGTGTTTGACGTTTGCGATATCGGCCAGAGCAGGGAGTTTTGAGTTGTTGATGGACGATTTCTTGATGATTTTGTTTGTTTTCTTTTTGTTTTTGGTTTTGTTTTTCTGGGAGCCAAGACTTTTCAAGGTAGTTGAATGGCGAGGAGCAAAGAGGCAAAATCCACTCATACCCTAAGCAGTAAATGCTTATCATAATCCATCCAGTCTTACTTTACTGGACTTGTATAATACATCTTACTCAGCATCAAACATGATCCATTGACCACTTGACAACATTGTACCTAGTTCAAACGAATAGTCTATTTCTAGCAATTCATATTTGATGGCTTTATTCATATTCACATATTCACAATCATCCTCTCATATATATCCAAAGACATCCCGTCTCATCTTCCATCACTGACGAATCTTAAAGGGGTGCGCCTCGGTGTTAAACACAAACTGGTTCCCGCCACTGGGGTTCACCTGCACAGCCGACTCTTCGGCAAAGATCAGGTACGCGTACTTGAGCGCCTCGGCGAACCAGAAGCTCTCCTGGTCGTCAGAGGCTCCTCCGCCGTTGGCCTGTGTCACGTCGTTGATGGACGAGTACCCGCTGCCGGCGCGGCACGCCTTGGTGATGGCATTGAAAGCAGCCCATGCCCAGTCCTGGTACTTGGCGTCGCCAGTAACTCGGTAGGCGTAGTACAAGCTCTCCAGGGTCTCGGGCCTCAGGATGTAGTATGGTGCCGACACCCAGAATCCTGCCTTGGAGTAGAAAGACGACTGGGACGAGGGAGGCGAGCCTCCGGAGCCCGTCACGCTGTCCACCCAGTTGAAGCCCTCGGGGCCAATTCCAGAAGCAGTCTGGTTGTACGTGGCATAGTACGAGTTGGTAAGCTGGATGCCAAAGTCAATGTACTTTTGCTGGCCCAGGAGGATGCCTCCCAAGATGAAGTTGCCACCAGCAAAACTAGCCACTAAGGAGAGATGTCAGTTTAATGTTGTCGTTTGTTTGTATTAGAAAACTCACAGTGTCCCGAATTGGGCGACGTTGATTGTCCAGAATATGACGACAAAAAGGTGAGGTCTTTACGTGTGCTTGGGTGAGAGGCGAGATGGGCAATGGTCGAGTCGGCAGCGAGAACCCAGCGGTCCTTGTAGTTTGCAAACGCAACCGGATCGTACAAGTACATCTTGATCAGATACTCGTAGAAGCTGTCCGAGAGCCCCGACCAGCTGCCACTGCTGTCCTGGAAGTTGCCGTTGCTGGTGCTGACAAACGTTCCCACCAGGCCGGGCCACGCTTGTGCGCTTCCCTTGGGGTTGAGAAGATACGACTCGCCCTTTTGAGCAAGCTGGGCATACAGTGGGTTTCCCGTGAGGTCACTCAGGCGCGTCCACTCAAGCACCAGCGTTCCAATTTCAGCAACATTGTTGCTCGACGCACCACTGTTCCGGAAAGTGGGATTGAAGAAGACCGTGGGGTCTGGGACACCGCTGGGGGTGTTGAACGACACCTTGAGGCCGTTGGCCAGGGTTTGGGCTTGGGTCAGGAGGTTGTTCACCAGAGTCTGGTTCGACACCAATGAGCTAAATGGGCCTTTCAACAGGTCGTAGCCTACGTAAATCATGGGCAATTAGTACAAGCTACGCCCGACACCAGGCACGAATGTCGAAACTCACCGGCTAGCAAGCCACCAATGTATCGGATGTTGGTCTCAAACACAGAGATGCCCTGGTTGGCAACCGCAGTGGTGGTAAAGTTGATCTGAGGAACCCGCTGTAGAATCGTGTTGACAATATCGGTCGCTCCCATGAGGATCGCCGTGTCCAGGCCGTCAATCGCTGATGAACCCCAGCCGTTTCTAGGCCCAAAGTTAGATACATGATGGCGCCGTTTTACCCCATATATTCGGAGAATTCACGGCCAACAGCTTACCTCTCATCGTCAAACGTGTTGCTAACTGGATGGAGATCGTCATGAGGGAAAGCAAACTGGCGATACCCGTTCCATGACGTCTGGAATGCGGCCTTGACCGCTGCCGCCCTTGTTGGGTTGGGCGAACCGCGTTTTGACGGGTGAGGATATGCCAATGCTGGTGCAACAAGCCCAAAGGCGAGCACGGAGCCGCTGATGAATCTCATGATGGCAATCTCCGATTCTGTAGGATGGCACAACCGGTAAGAGGAGAGAGATGGGACCGAGCTCAAGGCCGGAAACGGGTTGCAGATCACAATTCAGCGGCGGGAAGGCCGCGTTTTTCAATCATTTCTTGAACCCCCCCCCCCCCCCCTCCTCCTCCCTTTCCTACCATGATCCTTCATGCGACACTAAGCCACCAATACTACTCGTACGGACTGTTCATGCGGGTGCAAAGCATAAATCACCACTCTTCTAGTTCAAGACATGGCGCCGCCTAGGGATGCGACAACGGCCGTCCGGCATGCCTTTTGTTCAAGAACCTGCCGGGATCATGCGCTTTAGCTCCAAGGGTGGATGAGGATTGCCGGTGGACAGAGCCACAGCAGGCAGGTGACACCACGAACTAACAGCAGCTTGCATGTGGTTTCTGTCCATGACGGAATCGTTTGTGGCATTGACATCTCAATGGGACCCAGAGTTGTTGGTGACAAGTCATTTTGACAATTCTCATCCATCCGGGGTAGCCTAGGGCACTTTTGCAGGGGATAGAGAGAGGGGAAACCTAAATCAACACGCAGCCATCATGAGGTGCCATTCGGAGCTGATCCTGGCATTTAGACCATGCGCGGTGGTATGTGAGAGTCTAGGAATGTCGAGGGGCGGGAAGCGACAAAGACAACCAACCCCACGCATGGGTTAGACTCAACGATTGGCACTGCTTCCAAACTCCAGAGGACGGCAGGTTGTGAAAGAAGAACGCGCGAGTAACGCGTCGTAGACGATGTCTGTCTTTATTAACCAAGCCGGGACGCAGGGCTTGGCAACCGCTTCGTGAAACAAGCGGCCAGGCAGATCGGAATTCGAGCACCTCACTTGCAAGCATCCGGCATATCTCCCGAACTAATGTCCATTGAATCGTAACATCTGGTCACCACTTACAACCAACAGCCGCTCAACCTGCTTCTTACTGCCTAGCGCCGCGGGCGCCACTCGTACGTGCGATGATATCAGCACAAAGCTGGATTTCCCCCACAGATTGGCGACGGCACTTCAGGAACCGGCTTGTGGTTGAGCCCCGCATCTCGTCCTCAGCTCCAGGGACAAGCTTAAAGCCCGGCTTTGGTTGGACAAGCTTCGAGACGCGCCGCCACTCGAGGGGATCGCTGCTGATGCGAGGGCCGCTAACAATCGATCGCTGGTCTGGTGTGTGTGTGTGTGCACAGCGATCTACGAGCATAGACGGCTGCGACCTGTTCTCGTGCTTGTGCTGCATTGCTCCCACGTACTCTGTAGAGACTCAATAATGCAACGTATGGTTCAATATAGCCGACGTATGTCTTATGCAAGGGTCATCTTGACCCCACGTCGGATCTTGCAAGGCCCCAATGTCCGAACAAAGCCAAGTCTCTGCGTCTGAATTCCAGCGTGCGGCCGTAACTCGTAGGCAAATGGTCAGAGAAACACCGCCGTGCGGAGTCCAGCGTATTACTATTACGCAGCATCATGCGTCGTGACCCGCGCATCGCATCAGGTTCCCCCTCTTTCTCGGCAGTTTTGCGGCGCTCCATCGCGAGCCGATTCGCTCTAGGCATACAACTTCTGTTGGGGAGCATGTGAAATTTCATGCGAGCGAATGGGCGTCTTCAGCCGTTTTGACGCAGCTTTGCCAATGCCGCCGCTACGCCTTCACTAAGCTGGCTACTTTCTTTGTTGGGTTGGCGCTCCTCCTGGGGCTGGTTTGTAGGTTGAGAAGGCGCCTGTTCTTCTCCCCGGCTCATCGTGGCAAATGCTTCCTCTTCGTCAGAATCATCGTCTTCATCCAAGAAGTGAAACTGCGCGGGAGGCTTTGTGCTTCCGGGTTGACGCCCTGGCGCGCTGCCACCAGGCGAGCCGTATTTAGAGGGAGAAGCGTGTGATGTCACCTTGGTTGGGGGTGCAGATGCGGACTTTTCAGCGTCTGGCCCAGAAGGCCGATCAGTGTCAGCAATTGCAGGCACAGCCCTTGATTCACGTCCTGCCACGGCTGCTGATGATGATGGCTGGAAGCCTCTCTTGGCTGCTTTCCTTGCTCGAAACGGCTCCTCAACGGCAGACGTCCATCTTTTTACCTTGGCACCACCCCATCCGCTAATCATGCTCAGCTGCTCTGGCTCTGCGTTGATTGCATTCTTCAGGCTGCCAAAATTAGCGACCAGAGCTACGGCATCTGACTTATTCAGACTTCTGGGTACTGTGACAAATTCGACCAGTTTGTCGGCATAATTGGACGACTGCTGCCCGCGGATGGCCGAGAAGTTGGCGTTTTCGTACGACTTGTAGAGTTCAAGATAGCGAGCAGCTTCGGCGGCAGACCAGCATAGTATAACAGTCACATTGTTGACAACTGAAGTTTTCGATAGTTCGCGTAAAGAGTCTTCGTGGTTTGGGATGTCAACGAGGGTGAGAAGAATGCGGAGATTGTATTTGCCCTGGAGATTACGAATGCGAGTGTATATGTATTCGGGATGGAGGCGGTGGTATTTGAGACTGAGGTCGAGTACGGTGTTAGCAATGATATACGCTCCAACGGCCCGTCCGTGGTGGTGATGGAAGATTCTCACCTCAAGAAGAGGGCACAGGTCGTCAACCCAAGGACGTAATCCGCCGGTATGTCACTGTATTCCCACGGTATCGATCGGATGCTCGTCAAGAGGGGATTGCCGCGCTGGCGAGGCGACACCAGGATGCCAGACCCGAGAGTCTTTTGCTGGATGACTTGGGGCTTTGGCTGCACGACGGTGTTTTCGGGGCCGTTGCTGGCGGATGGTTTGTCGATGATTTGAGGCGTGGGCTGCTTCAGGGAGCTGCGTGCTGGAGGAACCGAGTCGACAGCTGCCATTGCCTCTAACAGAGCGTCATCAGCGCCATAATCGTCGTCCATGATGCAGTGAGATGGTGTAGCAGGTATTACGAGGTTGAGATGAAGAGATCAAGTGGCTGTTGTTGGGATGATTCGTGGTTGAAGGTGAAGAGAAGCTTATCGCATCGAGCTCGAGAATTAACGGTTGGCAAAAGTGGGGCCCGTCACTAACAGCTTCGTGATGGAATTTTGGCGGGGACAGACAGTACACGTAGCTTTAATCGCAAATCATTGTCACTCCACCTACTAAATTGTATGCTGGGATTACTTGTGATATATCAGTAGATACATTCATTTGGAGTTTGTTGATTTATTCAGAGGGCGAGATGATCAATGGCCATACTATCCTGACAGAGATATTGGCAGCCGGTGTGCTTTACAGTCACACTTATAAATGATGATTATGGGCAACTCTTTGTTTTCAAGGTAAAAGAATCACCGCGATACCATTAAATATTGAATGGGTGGAAGCAGCAGCGTTGTTACTGACGACAAAATCATTGGCCAGCCTTATCAACGTCTCATCAAAGTCATCCATTAATACAATCTTGTCTCATGCAGGTTCAGCTACCCCAACACATCGGTTCAGCCAATGGGTAGCTAGACTCACTGAACAGGTAATGCAAGCTGAGTAAACACGGGCACAGATACAGATCGATCTGCAAGTCATTAAGCAGCAGGTACTCCATATATATGGACTGGCCCACCACCTTTAGACCTCATGCCTCATGTCTCATGTGTAGTACAAGTGTATGTATGATGAACGTTAGGACATACACATTGTTTCTATTTAATTAAGCTTGAATGATTATATCAGCAGCGTGTTTTACAATGAATCTCCAAGAAAAGCCGTCGGGAATTAAACGTCGATGGTTCAGGTTCTTTGTCGTTTGCGTGGAGGAGCGTCGGAAGGAATCAATACCGACGGGACTAGATGACTATAAAATGAGAAACTCGTGAGCATCGATCACAGCAGCTGGGGGAGAGTCAAGATAGATATAAAAGAACTCTTGTATCCATCAGACTTACTTCTCTCTCTATACTCCCCCGCCCACACGATACAGTACAGGACATAACCACTCATTAATCGTACAGCCAAATCAACTCCAAAATTCCTGCTTGTTCGGGTCTCTTCTACCGAACTAAACACGAGCTTCTACAACTAATATCCAGTGCGGGGGCGGGGTTCCCAATCCATCTTCCGATGGTACCCCCGAAAGCCCCTCCAAAAGGGGATTCAGTTGAAAAGAAAGCGGCTAATCTTAATTCACTCATAACTCCGAGTTTGATGAATTGATTGGCTCTTTCGGTTACATATTGCTCTAGCTAACCAATACGGGTAAAGAAGAGCCCCCAAGACACCTCATATTACACGATTCAGTCTCCAACTCTGGACCCCCAAAATATGTCATTCTCTTCACCAATTTCATGTTGTCTTGTTAACAAGCGAACCACGACTCCGTAAACGTTCCCCTTTGCTACGCGTAGACGGTCTCGGCGGTTTAGATCCCACCAATGGCCGAGTAAAAAAGAGCTCGCGAGGCGTAACCGGTTCAACGGCTATATATTCTCCGTCGCTTATATTGGCCAGCTATATCGTGACAACTGGGGACACGAGTGAAACCGCATGTGCTTGTGATTCTTTTGCCTCTTCCTCTTCCTCTTCTGCGAAACCGGCTTCCTGCTTTAGTCTTTTGCGGTGTCTAGTAGAGCAATAAATACCCTTGATTTCTCTCATCGCAGCTGCAGCTTGTCATCCTCTCTTCTGCCATCCGTTCTCACCAACTCACCTCACCTCACCTCATTCTACCCCCCTCTACCCCCTCCAACCCCTCTCCCTCCAAGTCACATCCACACACTCACAACCAAAAATGTCTGAAGTCACCATCACCGGATTCAGGAGCCGCGATGTTCGGTTCCCGACGTCCCTCGACAAGACGGGCTCAGACGCCATGAACGCTGCCGGCGACTATTCAGCGGCGTACTGCATCCTGGAGACGGATTCCCCTCACAGCGGCCACGGCATGGTAAGCAGCTCTACCTCCATCCTCAACCTACAATCCTTTATTGGCTCTTGGTTCGCTAACAAACCGCTTCTCGTAACAGACATTCACCATCGGTCGTGGAAACGACATTGTCTGCGCCGCCATCACCCACGTTGCCGACCGACTCAAGGGCAAGACTCTCTCCTCACTGGTGGCCGACTGGGGCAAGACCTGGCGATATCTCGTCAACGACAGCCAGCTGCGATGGATTGGCCCCGAAAAGGGCGTCATCCATCTTGCCCTGGGAGCCGTCGTCAACGCCGTCTGGGATCTGTGGGCAAAGACGCTCAACAAGCCCGTCTGGCGCATCGTGGCCGACATGACGCCCGAGGAGTACGTCCGCTGCATTGATTTCCGCTACATCACAGACGCCATCACACCAGAGGAGGCCGTTGCGATGCTGCGCGAGCAGGAAGCCGGCAAGGCCAAGCGCATTGAGGAGGCCCTTCAGAACCGAGCTGTTCCCGCATACACAACAAGTGCCGGCTGGCTGGGATACGGCGAGGAGAAGATGAAGCAGCTGCTGAGAGACACGCTGGCCGACGGTTACAGACACTTCAAGGTCAAGGTTGGCGGCAGCGTCGAGGAGGACAGGAGGCGTCTGGGCATTGCCCGCGAAATCATTGGCTTCGACAAGGGCAACGTCCTCATGGTTGACGCCAACCAGGTCTGGTCCGTCCCGGAGGCGATCGACTACATGAAGCAGCTCAGCGAGTACAAGCCCTGGTTCATCGAAGAGCCAACCTCACCCGACGATGTCATGGGCCACAAGGCCGTTCGCGAGGCCCTCAAGCCTTACGGCATCGGTGTTGCCACCGGCGAGATGTGCCAGAACCGAGTCATGTTCAAGCAGCTGCTCATGACGGGCGCCATCGACGTCTGCCAGATCGACGCCTGCCGTCTAGGTGGCGTCAACGAAGTTCTGGCCGTCCTGCTCATGGCCAAGAAGTTTGGCGTGCCCATTGTGCCTCATTCCGGCGGCGTGGGTCTCCCCGAGTACACGCAGCACCTGAGCACCATCGACTACGTGGTTGTCAGCGGCAAGCTCTCCGTCTTGGAGTTTGTGGACCACCTCCACGAGCACTTTTTGCACCCCTCCGTCATCAAGGACGGATACTACCAGACCCCGACGGAGGCTGGATACAGCGTCGAGATGAAGCCGGAGAGCATGGACAAGTATGCTTATCCCGGTGAGAAGGGTGTAAGTTGGTGGACGAGCGAGGAGGCTCTGCCCATTCTGACTGGAGAGAAAATCTAAATTTAAATGGTAGCGATATTTTTTATGATTTGTATTCTTTGTATCTGTTGGACTTATAGAATGGATGTATATGTAGGAAATCCACCACAAAAAGAGCAAATGTGAACCGAGTTTTGCATTCAAGAAGCGTGAATGATATATATGATACCTTGGTACGCTTTATATGAGACGTGTCATGGCGAGATCCATTGGACGTAACGATCTTCAAGCGTTTGTTACCTCGCCATACACTTCTATTATTCCCCTCATCTAAATATACCTGTATCTACTGGTATTGTTACTAAATACCTTTATTACCGAAAAGCCGCAACACCCTTAACCCAAGATCTCGATCGTCAGAATAGACGCCATGGTTATGTACACCCAGTATTTCCGACAGCCCAGCTGTAGTGGCGCATCGCGAAAAGTCCAACCCAGGATGGAAGATTTCCGATAGACTAGCAGAGTGTTGTAAACCGTGAATACCGTGGAAAGTTTGACCGCTTTCTAATGCACAGACAAATGGGTTATGGATAAAAGCTTTGGTCTCGCGAGCGCGAAGCTGGAGAAGATGGTGGATACGGTTGATCACACGTTCCAAGTCTTCTTCTGGACCCCCTTTATACATATCTCTGAAATAGCGTGACTCCAAGAGATAGCACAAGAATGAGTGCCCTTCCTTGTCGGTCCTTAGCACATCGATATCCGACCTATCAAGAAGGGCGGACAAGAGAGGAAGATTCATGTCAAGGATCGCATGCATCAGTGGAGTTAGGCCACCGCGATCTGAAAGATTGACCTCTGTCTTATCGACGGCGATGAGTAAACAAGCTGCATCTAAATATCTCTTCTCAGTAGCATAAAACAGAGGCGTCAACCGAAAGCTGTCCGCAGCGTTGATATCCACGCCAGCTGCTAGGAGCGATCGAGTTGCCTGACTGGTGGCTCTCTGCACTGCGTGCGATAGGGGAGTCCGGCCCAGGGCATCGGCCTTCTGGAGAACAGCAGCAGAGCAATGTGCAATCAGAAGGTCCACGGCACCATCGTCCTGGTTCTTCTGCAGAGCGAGGGAAAGGAATCTTCCGTCGGGATAGATGATTTCTAGTTCCGACGCCAGCTCGGTGGTTTCAGCGAGCGCTTGAATCATGCTCTTGGTGCCCGTCATGACCAAGCGGGTCATAAAGCTTTCCCCCTTGGAGTTTCTGCGATATGGTTGTGTACGTTTATCGTGAATCAACATGCTGAAAATGGACTCGTCGTACTCCTTAAACTCTGCATTCAATACCTCTGGCCAGTGATCCACCCTATATCGAGTTGGTACCTGACCTCTCAAAGGAGGCAAGTTGCGGTTCATGGAAGAAGCACGCCAAGGAAACAGCTGTTCAAACATTGGTTCATAAACTGAGGCCAGCAATAGGGCATCGTTGCCTTCTTCATCTTGGGCCAGCACATCTATATCTTCCCGTTCCAAGAGCAAGCGTACGACATCTCGCTGGTGATTCTTCACAGCGATGAGGAGGGGCGTCTTCCTCTCCCCGTCCAGCAAGTTCACGTTGACCCCAGATCTCGTTAATAGCACAGTGACGAGACGACCAGTGTTAGTCTCCAAGAAGTCTACCACGAACTCAGATCCGGATTCGTTGATAATTTCTGGACGCAGACGGCAAGCCTGGTGGAGAAGGCTGGAGCCTGTCAGGTCCTTTTCATTGACGTCTCTATCAGCAACAGATGCCAAAAGGTGAAAACAGTATGTGTAATTGGAATTGGCAATGTTGTGGTCCTCCGTACCGTTACCACTTTCAACCCTTGTGTCAAATTCAAAGTCCCCTGGTTTAATGAGCATGTCCATGATGTCACAATATCCATGTTTGGCGGCCAGGCCAAGTGGCGTTTTGCCAGATCCATCGACAGGACCTGGTTTTACATTTTCTTGTTTGAAAAGTAGCTGAACAAGTTCAGTGTTGTCCCATTTGGATATTTCATCGACAAGTTGCGAATAAAGATGTTTATCGTGAGCATACGGCAGCAGGAGTTGAGTTGCTTTCATATCCTGCAGATAAATAGCGGTCAGGAGTGGTACGTTCGTATGCTCCGCGAAGTCCCGCTCACAGTCGATCAGAAAACCCGGGCGCCGTCCCTTGTTTGTGCGAGGCTGAGTATATGATCCGCTGACTGCTGCCGATGCATCTTTTTCCAGTAGCCGCTCCAATAGATTATGCAATCCGTTACGAACTGCATAGATCATCGGTGTAATCCCACAATGGCTACAGCTCTCACATTTTGAGTGTGGCAATAGGAGTAGGGCAGCTTCTTCGTGTTCGCCTCTTGCCGCTGCAGTAAGCGGATTGCCACAGAAATCCGTGTCATCGTAGTCAATCTCTACATCGTGCCATTCGAGAAGCTGGGAGATGATGCCGATATTACCAGAACTGGCAGCCAGCCACATGGCACCTCTTTTGAAGCTATCCTTCATTCCGTGGTTAGATATATCAAACAGCAGCCTGAAGCATCGCTCTCGACCGAGTTCAATCGAAACCAAGAATGCAGTAGAGAGCCCGCCTGAATGGTGACACATCAAGTCCGGCTTAATCGACTTTTGATCCAGAAGTAGCGATACAAACTTGTCAAAGTCATTCATCACAGCGATGATCAATGGTGTTTGTCCATTGGTATTGAAGATGTTTGGATCTGCCCCTCGTGCCAACAACATTTGGGCCATGTTGCAATCTCCTTTCGCGGCCGCAGTGGTCAATAATACACCATCTCTGGAAGGGGTGATCGGTAAGAAATTGTCTCTGAAATATCCATCTTCAGAAATAAACAGACTTTGATTTATACCGCGTTGATTCATATCGTACTTGTGATATACCAAAATTTGCTCGACCCATGCCCGATGGCCAGCATGGCAGGCATCAACGATGGCGGTATGCACATCAACGACTTCTTTGATCATTTGCTGGGTGGCGAGCCTAGACATTGAGAATATGTTTGGCGAAGCACTACCGTCAGTGGCCGAGCTTCGTTGCAAAGCATTGCCAACCGCAGCCTCGGCCTTAGCCTCGGTCTCAGCCTCTATGAAGTGGTAGTTCCAATTTGCCTTGGCATAGTGGAAGAAGGGAGCTTCTTCATCCCTGGTTTCTTCTGGCTCTGTCTCAGCAATCTGAAGGTACCGGAGGCACATGGATGCCATTTTCGCGTTTGCCCTTGGAAACCAACGGGATCTTGTACTTGTGCGCTCGAAATATTCTGCGGCTGATTTGTGCACCAGATGTACTATGTTGCTTGTGTCATCCAGTATGACAAGGCCGGTACACGCAGCGACCAAGTCATCTATATCTGGAACCATGTCTTTGTCGAAAGCTTCACTACTCTCATCTATAGATAGCGCGTGGCTAAGCTCCTGGGGGGAAAGGGGGCGCCTGGCGCACGTCAAGACCAGAAGCATCTGTACAGCAATACGCTCTGACTCGGGGCCCTGAAACTTGATTCGAAGCATGGAATCTTCATATAAAGTATCGTATGCGTTTGAACCAATTGCCAAACTGGAGAGTCGTTTACGAAGACTGCCGACTGATATTATGTTGGCCAGAGACCTCAAATATAGCTCGGCCAGTAGAAACCTAGAGAGTGAATGAGCGGATGCCTTGCCAGCTAGCTATCATACATGTGGTAGAGCCAGACACCTACATGCCGGCACTTGCATTCGTTACCGAGTCGATCACTTCATCTTGGAGCTTTGGAGATCGAGTAACAAAGTTTGGTAGCTGAAAATTGTTGTCTCGCAAGAAGTTCCGGATATCCTCGTCGCTTGACCTCACTTCCAGAGAGGTATAGGCCTCACAGCTCTCGAAGAGGTGTTGAATCTCTGGGATGCCACGTGAAGTCACCAAAAGGCTGACAATGCCATTCTTGTAAAGTTTTAGAAGGTCGTGTATGAGCGGTCGTCGCACCTCGTTTGTAAGTTCATCTAGTGCATCCACTATCAAGTTGACCCTCACAAACCTGGAAAAAAGATCCTGTAGTAGGTTTATGCAGTACGGTCGAGACATGGTTTTGTTAGACAACCGCAATTGATTGCAAGTAGAAACAGCTGCATCAGCCTCATAGTCTGCCTCTTCGAGTGCAACTCGTAAAAGACTGCAAAGCAGCTTCTCCACGGTTTGGGTGTGGTTTTGGTAAGAGCAGTACATGTAAGCCGTCAAAGTCTCAGCATCATTCGCAAGCCGCAAGCTCTCAACCACCATTGCCGTGGTAAAGGTCTTTCCTGTGCCAGGATTCCCAGGGCAAAAGAGAAGGCTGCCTTTCCGCCTGAGCCATTCCAAGTATATTTCAGACTCAAACAACCATTTGCGAGAGCCTGTCTGGCATCGTAGAAAGATATCATTTTGTTGCGCCACGTAGTTGATGTCGCTGACCCATTTGATCGTAGCTTCACGTTCCGTATCCTCCTGGTGACGGATAAGCCTTACAATGTTGTGGCTGGTTACCTGGTCGTTGAGACTTCTTAAAGTGGCTATCTTGACGGATATCTGGCTGCGTATATCGCGAATATCGTCGGGTTCCCATTTGAGCCGTTTCCAGGTTCTTTTGATGGCCGTCCTTGTCCCAGTTTTGCCACCTTTCGCTACACCGGAGTATTCCTCCAAAGTCCTTTTGAGCCGCACAAGCAGATGCTTGCAGCCAGTCACGACGGTCTGGTATTCTTGTGACTGCTCCGGGCTGAGCTCGGCACAGTCAGCCTCGATATCTTGCAAAACAATGGCAAATCCTCGAACGTCATCAGAAATAGCTCTAAACTGCTCCGGGGCGCCGATGAAGCTCCTGCGTATTTGTTTCACAAGCCCGACTACGGCTAAGAAGTCAAATTCGAGGCCGAGGCTCATTGCTGATATCAAGTAGCAAGAAGAATAGCAGATGTTTTAGGAGACAGTTGGCATCAAGCAAAAGAAGGTGCCTTCAATGCATCCTTTTTAGCACTTGAGCCATGGAGAGAGTCCCTGGGGCACTGGGCATTGTCTGTTAGGTAACGGTGAGAGAAACCACAACGCCTTGCGAGGCGTTTTCAGTGGAGTGGCTGTATCAGACTGCCTGGCGTCGCCGACGTGGTATCTCTTTATTGGTTCGTACCTAGGCAGACATCTGTGCTCTGTAAATTGAATTGACCAAACATGTATCATCGCAGCACCTTTTGTATTGGGCAATGACAACATAGCGGTAGAGGCCGGTCTCAACCCAATTGACTTGACTTGAGCGGATTCGACTGTATTCTTGGGGTACTGTTGAAATGAAACTGTCAGTAAAGACCAAGGTAAAGATATGGGTCGTTCCGATTGCCTTTATCTCCCAAAAATGATAGTTGCCATAAATGCCTGCAATTATATTTGCACGCGATCATATTCTGGTGGTTTTGGAAGTGTAGTTGAATGAAAGTCAGGGTGTTTGATCTCAGTACCTTAGAGGTAGTACAGGTAGGTAGGTACCCAGTCGCTAACGTTACCTGTCGACATCAGGTACTCCTGAGCTTATACAGCGCCAAACTACCGCAAAATGACCGAGCAGGTACAAGAAATCCATCCACAACGTTAGCAGGTACTTTATCATACAGACGTGTTCAAGCCAGACTGCATGAATTGCATCTGATGCTTGCTTCATCCACCTCACGTCAAACCCACGCCCTCTTAATTCTCTTTGATTTGCAATCCCATTGAAACTCATTCCTCATTCTACTCATGTCACTAAAAGTGAATTGATGAGCGCAAATCAGCAAATCCAATGCACCCATAACAAATCATTTGAACATCTCACCACAACTACGCACTCACTCACTCATCATCCAATGCCCATACTCCCATAGCCACAAAGATGAAGCTCATCCCCTCCAATGAATCCCGCCCATTGCACTCTCTCATCGCCGTCTTTACCGCCTGGAAAGGCTTCTTGCTGGCCATAGCCCTCGGAACCACCGTCAGCCACGACTACGACACGTCAACGTCTCTCTTCTTCCAGAGCTTGTACGGCTCAAGCGGCAATGCATCGGCCCTCGCAACCCGGTTGACGCGATGGGATGCGCTGTATTTTATGAAGGCCGCGCGCGACGGCTATGTGTACGAGCAGCAATGGGCCTTTGGAGCAGCGTTGCCGCTTACTGTGCGCGGCATCTTGTGGTTCTTCAAGCCGTTGACGCATCTGGTCGGCGGTGATGATGCTGCTCTCGAGCCCGTGGCGGCCATCATCTTCACGACTTTCTCTCACCTGATTGCTGTTTTGGCTCTTCACAGACTCACTCTCGTTCTCTTTGGCAATAAAACACTGGCCTACGTGGCAGCGGTTCTGCACATTCTCTCCCCGGCTGGCCTCTTCCTATCCGCTCCGTACGGAGAGAGTCCGTTTGCCTGCCTGTCCTTCATCGGCAACCTGCTCTTCGCCACGGGTGTTCAGTCCAGCTCCAGTATTGGCGAACGGATCCTGGCCTTTCTCGGCGCGGGCATTTCGTTTGGACTGGCCACTGCTTTTAGGAGCAACGGCTTGTTCAGCGGGCTCCTGTTTGCCGTAGAAGCGATCAGGGGCTTGCTCGCCTTTTTCCGTCAGCCGAGTATTTCAAGGCTAGCCTTGCTCGCCTCTTTAATCATTGGCGGTCTCTGCATTGCAGCTGGCAGTGTAGTACCGCAAACGGTGGCCTGGTTCAGATATTGCAAAGTTGATCTCACTGACGCAGAGCCAAGGCCATGGTGCTCTCGCTTGGTACCCAGCATATATACCTTTGTCCAAGCCCACTACTGGTAAGTTGCTGCTACACACTGAAACACATATAGAAAGGTAATACTCACCATGGTGGCAGGGATAACGGCTTCTTGAGATATTGGACCCCAAACCAGCTACCTTTGTTCATACTTGCCAGCCCCGTGCTCACGCTTCTTCTCAAGTCAGGAGTACAAGTTATTCGTAGCTGGGGTCAAAGCCTCAGCCAGTCCACGCCTGTTGTTGCGGAATCGCATCATACCTTTGTGCTCACATTAGCTGCCATCCAGACACTGGTTGCGGTCTTGGCTATTACCAATTTCCACGTGCAGATTATAACTCGGCTGGCATCTGGGTACCCCGTGTGGTATTGGTGGATAGCCAACAGCCTAGGAAACGGCGAGACTCGCAAAATGGGCTCGGGAGTTGTTGTCTTCATGGTCATGTATGCCGGCATCCAGGGAGGATTGTTTGCCTCGTTTATGCCGCCAGCATAGATGCCTTGATCAGTTCGTCGTTACAAATACAAACAAACAAGAATATTGCAATTGAATCTGCGCACCTTGTCTTAATGATCCGTAGTTGACTCTCTGAATTACACTCTTCGTTGCTCAGTATCAAGTACGCTCATCACAGCACCAATTCTCAACTCAACCAACTCTGCTCTACAGCACATCATTGTCAGCCTCTTAATCACGCATACCTACTTATCGTCTCATCATCATACAGACATATTATATTACTGCCAAACTTCGATTATTTGTGAACAAATGCTTCGCACGTCTGCATCGGACATGTGCAGCTCCTCCCGTGATTTAGTGCCTGTCCATTCTACCCATCAAGGCAAGAGAGGCTGTCCGCCTTCTCACGGCGTTTGTTCTGCCATCCAAAAATCCACACCGCTTGGCCTACCTTCTCAAAGTCTTCCAATATTTATTTAAAACCTCGATCACAAACAAACACCATCCACATTTTATATCAACTTCTACAACACCAAGCGCCAGTAAGTCCTGCTCAGGGGTTGGAACAACTACTCGGAAACTTCAGTACAAGTACTTCCTAAAAGACACAGGCTACCTATTATACTGATCACCCGCTACTTTATATCAGCGGACGACATTTCAACAGGAATCATCCAGTAGATTATACCAACTGCCAACCAGAAAACATTCCACCAAGTCTCAACCACGCAAAATGCAAGCCACAGGCAGCGACGGCGAGGCTTCGTCCAAAGAAACCACCCCAAGCGTCTCTCAGGAGAACCAGAGCCAGCATCAGCACCAACATCAACATCAGCCTGATGGTACCAACTCCTTGTATGCCAACAGCGATGTCAAGCTCTGGCTCCAATACACCGGCTTCTTCGACACCGAGCAGCGCCTCAAAGTCCTCGCCGTGTTCCGCAGACTCAAAGACCTCGACGAGCAGCGCCTCAAGCTTCTCGAGGAGGTTCGCACGTCTACAGAGTACTCTAGTTCTCTCGCTATTGCTACGATTCCGCAGAGCTTTTCCGCCTTCCAAGATTTGTCGCCAACATTCTCGATGGCTAGTTCCAACGACGATAATACCCTGTCGGGCTCCCAATCAACGGCTCCCGCAAGCTCAAATGAAACTTATAGCTTCGAGATTTCTTCCATCAATAAAGGGGCTGGTTCAAATTTCTGGCTCACGATGTTTGAAAACAAGTTGCCGTCTCATCAAAGTAGTACCCAAAATGTCAAACCCTCCATGAAAGCTACTACATCCCCGGGTGATCCCAACTCTGAGGTTCAAGGAGCACAATCTCCGTCCTCGTTGGATGGACCATTTGAAACTGAAGCACATCGTTTCAGCAAAAGTCAGGTCGTGAGATCCTATACTCCATCCCAACTCTTGTCGTTGGCTCCCAAGCAAGGTATCTATATACATCTAGACCTCTATTCAACACAGTCCATCCTTCCTCCCCCTCCTATTCTTCTCCTTTAATTCTAACGGCGTTCAACAGAATTAGCAGAATCGCGCTACTTTTTAATCAAGTCCTTCAACTTTGCAAACGTTGACAAATCCCAGCGAGACGTAAGTACACACGAGCTCTACATCACCCGCCAATCCCTCATGTTGACAAACAAAACAGGGATTATGGGTCACGAGTGCGTGCAACGGCGCCATCTTCGCCAACGCCTTCAAGCACCACAAAAACGTCTTCCTCCTCTTCTCCGTCAACAAATCCAAGGCCTTTCAAGGCTACGTAAGTCCATCGATCTCACAAATCATCCTCACATCCTCACTCCTCAAACCTCCCAACTAAACGCATCCCCCTACAGGCTCGCATGACCTCCCTCCCATCAAGCACCATCCCCCCTCCAAAATGGATGAGCAAAACCTCCTGGAGACACAGCGCCCCCTTCGGGGTCCAATGGCTCAGCACCCACCGCACCGAGTTCTGGAATTTCGGCAAGCTGAGGAACCCGCTCAACGACGGTAAACCCGTCTTTATCGGCAGAGACGGCCAGGAGATTCCCGAGACGTGCGGCCGTGAGATGGTTTGCGTCTTGGACCAGGGAGCGGCAGAAAAGAGAGGACGTGGTAGCGTCACTTCGTGGAGAGTGCGGAGGGATTATGATGATGATGGCAAGGACGAGGTGACAACTTGGCATCATGATGAAGCTGACAAGGACGAGATGCCAACTTGGAACCATGATGATGAATGGTCAGAGGCGGGGGAAGACATCACCGCCAGCGAGGAGTCCGAGACGGTAGATGACATGCCACTGATCAAATATTGACTGACACTCGCATTGATGAGAATCTCGGATGGACTTGAGGGACTTGTCTTGTGGCAGACCGGGTTGCTTATTCTCTATCAAGTTCTATTTAGATAGCCTGTGTATTAGGCTCATCAGGGGGGCCAATCTAACTTAACCAACAGCGTCTCTATCAAAAATGAACACGGGAGAACCATGTTACCTTGATAGTACCACATATTAAAACTCAAATAGATGGAAAGCAAAGGGGAATGAAGCCTCCCTTACGGTGGTTTCAATTTCAGCATGAAAAGACTCGAATATAATATCCAATCCAGTGTGCCATTACTACCCGTGTATGCTCCTATTATTACATCCCAACAAATTCCAGACACAAACTCGTGCACCAGACACCAGTTACTCCATTTGACATAGAAGAAACCCGCCTCTTTCAACCCAAATATAGTGCAATCGGCATGTATTCCAATTTCTCGAGGACAAGTTGGGTAATAAACCCTCAAGCAAGTCCTTCTTACGGCAATGGCAGAAAGCCATTATCATCTGCAAGACCTCGACTAATAGTCATCTTCAGAGTCGCTATTGTCGTTTATTGTAATCGCTCGCCATCGTCTATCAGTCAAATCTTGAGCAGCCGTGCCCTCGCTCTCAGGATCGACATAGCCTTCCCCTCCACCAAGACTCAGCGCAACCGGCAAAAACACCAGTGCGTGAAGGGCAGCAAAGACGACCAGGGCCAACCACACTCGGAAGTAGTAGATTTCGAAAATCTTGGATCGCGTAAACGCAAGAACGCTGACGCCCAATAGCTTCGTAACGGTAATACCAGAAAACACCGATCCGCCAACGTTGACCAGCGCCGTCCAAGCACGAGCATCTCGCCCGTTGACGTTGAAGCTGTTCTCCATGACGGTTCGCGAGGGGAACATGAAGGCTCGGGCAATGTGCGCGCAGAACTCAACCGAGATTCCGACGCAAATAATGAGATTCACGAGAGAAACGGCATTCAAAGAGACGTTGAACAGCACCATGGCACCCATAATGTCAACGACGCTCATGATAACCGTCAACGTCACAATGGCAGCTGTGAGAACGGAGCCCAAGAGGAGCGACGCAATGATGAAAATGGCACCGACAGCAGCACCCAAAAGACCGGCAGTCAGCTGGATGATGCTGAGATACTGGTCGAAAAAGATGTAGAAGACGCTGTAAGGGAAAACGTCCGCTCCAGTAGCTTTCGTGATGTCAGAGGCGATGCGGCGTGCAGAAGAGTAGGCCTTGATAAAGTCTTCCTGGCTGCGAAGGCGTGTGTGCGCGGTTCTGAAATGAGTGGCTTTGACGTGCGCAGACTCATCATCCAGAATGACTGCATCTCCGTAGGACGCTTGGCCACCCAGCGGGCAAACGTCATCCGTCTTTGCCGCAAGGAACTTTTTGAGATAATGAATAAACTCATCATTCTCGGGCATCCCATGAAGAGAGGTGTTCCAGGCAGGTTGGCGGTCCGCAAAGCAGGTTGAGCCACGCTCAATGCAGCACTGCTCGTAGATGGGATTCAGCCAGAGGAAGAAGTCATCGACCCAACTTGCCGTTGGAGACATGATGTATGAAAGGTGAGATCGCTGCCTCTCGAGCTCCAAAGTGGTTGTCAGGGAGAATGGCTCGCAGGTGGTAAACCTTGAGCAGATTGCTTGCTGTTGTGGGCGTTGAGACGCATCCACTCCGCGGGTAACAAAGTACACCGGAGGGCCAGTCTCCAGGTAGTCGTAGAGGTCGTTGAAGTAGGGGATCAAGTAGGAGCCGTCTGGAATGGCGACACGCTGATCCAGTCCAAGCTGGATGCCTGGTAGCAAGGCGATGGCAGCTGACAAAAGACCAAGGAAGACGGCTACGACACCGACCTTGGTTTGCCTTCGCAAGAGGAAAGGCGCATAAGTGTTCCTGATGAAGATTTGCAAGTAGCTCTCCTCATCGGCATCAGACACTCTTCCGGTTGCTGGAGTATAGCCATTGCTGCCATTAAGAGTGATTCTAGCTTTCTTAATCTGCCACCACGGCCAGAATTCGCAACGATGATCTTCCACCCGCATTTGATTCAAGGCCAAGAAGGACACAAACATGGTCATCTGAAGAACTGCATTGATGAGAACCGCACCAGCGGCATAAGCAGCAAAGTTTCGGACAGCAGGCATGCCCACCGCAGATCCAAGGGCAAACGCAAACGTCTCAGTCAGGGCCGAAAACAAGATGGAAGGTCCCATGCGGCCCAAGGCCCGGGCGACTCTCTCCTCCACCATCTGGTCTGGGAAATTAATGTTGACTCTTTCGAGCTCGTGGACAATAAGGAAGATGTTGTCGACGCCCACAGCCAATACGATGAACGGAATGACTTCGACAATGATGAGCGTGGCTTTCAGACCAACCCAGGAGAAGAAGCCAATGGACGCAGAAATGGACATGAGAACAATGATGATGCCGGCGAGACCCAGAGTGACTTTTGACTCGACAAGCAGCAGCGCTGGGTTTCCAAAGAGGTGCTTCAGGGGTGTGCCCAGTGCCAGGCAGGCATAGATGAACATGACAATGTAGCTGATGACGACAATCTTGGCATCCGTGTTGGTAGACTTGTTGAGTTCCTGTTCAAGACTAATCTCGGTGGTAAAGGACAATCGAAGACCACGGCTCTTGGCCTCTTCTTGAGCTTGAAGGAGTCGATCACGGAGTGCATTCTCCCAATCAATGGCACGAGCCAGGGTATCAGAATTCTCGGGGGCGTTGTTGACCACCCATGTGACGGTCATGGCTTGAGATTCAGCGACATCGTGGCCGTAGCCGCCCAAGATCATGGTTGGTTCAATGGGCTGTCCAAACGCAGGTCGACAGTCTACGGGAGATATCGCGCAGCTGCGCAAGTCTTCCTTCCAGTAGTTGGGGTCGATATCTCCTCCCTTTGAGTACCAGTATTGCGTAACAGACTGTATGACACAAGCATCACCAGTAGGCTTGAAACAAACATCACTAAGCGAGCTTCCATGGGTAGAACCCTTGAGTTTTTCAACACTCTTTTCAACTTCTGTCCACCACTGCAAAGTCTCATAGCTGAGAACGGGGCTAGGGCCAGAAGTCTCGGTGTCGTTGACCAGGAAAATCTTTTCGGCTCGGAAAAAGGGGCCAAAGTTGGAGTCAAAGTATTCCTTTTCTTGCGCAGCGGCCGAAGATGGACTGACCCAGAGACGAGCAGGGTCTTGCTCGATATCGAACCGGAACCAGCCAGCACTGAGGATGCCAACGACGAGCAAGCTGATACCTATGGTGAGGCCTGGAAACCGCGCGGCCGTGTCTCCCAGGTTACGAAATGCCTTGTCGCACTTGTCGTTGAGCCAATACCGCTTTGTAGGCTGATCTCGCATAGCATCAGGAAGAATAGGCCCGCCCTCATCCTCATCATCGCTGTGGGAGGAGTCGTGCAGTAGACGAGACCTTTCGACGCGGCGCTTGAGATATTTGAACCAAAAGATGTGACCAAAGACGGCAGTGAAGAGAGCAAGCAGCAGGACGCCATACGTAAGGATGGACGCGAAAGAAAGACAGGGTAGCTTTCCCACTTTGCAGGATCCAGCCTCGTTGACATCCGGCAAGGTAGGGCATACCTCGGGGCAGTCGACACATACACATCGATAGGCCGGGTCCTCGTCGTTGCATTTCTTGGGCTTCATCTGCTTCGGCTCCATGCCAGGCTGGTCGTAATTTTCAGGAAAGTTGATTTGGAAGGGGGAGCCAACGAATGGCTTCTTGTCGCCCAGGAACTTGAGCATGCTGTGATAATCACCGGCTCCTCCACCAATCAAGTCCATGGCCCTACTGTTGGCGCCTCCAAACTTGACCTCTTTGCAGCTGTCGTAGAGCCCGGAGCCATATTCTTCAGAGACCAGCTGGTCGAGCTCAGTGACGAGCAGCTTCCCACTCTTTTTCGCGGCATCGGTGACGTTGATAAAGGTCGATTGATCGGGGGAGCACGTAAACTTGCAAAACAGGTTGAAGAAGTTTTCCTTGCAGGCCGGGCAAGACCCGATGAGGGTTCTCGGAGTGCCCATTTCGCTTTTCAAAGCTTGGACCTTTTAATACCCATTAGCATTACTTATTACCTATTTCCCCAAAAAGAGGCACGCGACATACCTGTTCCATGTTACAGCAGACCGGCCCCTCGCCCCATTCGGCGCCGCAGAGCTCAACCAGCTCCTTTCGAAGATCGTCGTCCGGGTCGTGCGCGAGGCCATTGTCGACACACGGCAGCTCCTTGCCAAAGAGGCTCTGCTTGCCGCACTGGCCGCGAAAGGCACACCGGCCCAGTTCGTGCTTCGGCGTGAACGATTCGGCGTAGGCGCTGACTCCGAAGAGCAAGGCGGCAAGGCCCGATTGCAGCACCGCCAGACGCATGGCGCCTCGTGGCCGAACGGCCATCAAAATACGAGCTGAGACGAGCTTTCCCAGCGCCTCGTCTGTAGCCGTTGAGATCGAGAGTGTCGAGTAAGGAGAGCTTCGGATTTGTTGTGATGATGGGGGGTGTTGGTGCGAATGATTGCGTCACGGATGGAGAGTGACGGAGCGGTAGCGGTGGGTTGATTGATATATGGAGTAGCGTCCCTACTAAAGTGCTTCTGTGCTGTAGGTACGAGTGTAGGTACCTGTACCTGTAGCTTTGCTGACTGCCCGTGGCTAGCGCTGTACGTACCTCGGGCTAGCACCCAAAGGGAGGTGACCGGGCTGCCGCCTATTTCAGGCAAGGTACAGGCTGCAGCATTAGCGGTGCCCGGTGTACCTGATGATGTTAAGAGCCCATGTCGTGTCGTGTCGTGTCATGGATGTCATATTATCGTGTCGTCAATGAAACGCAGCGTTTGTCTGAGCTCTTTTTATCAAATCGAATCAAATCACAGCACAGCCTTTAGAAGCATGGAATAGACAGAGCACAGCATAAGCACAGCACAGCACAGCATAAGCACGGCACAGCAACAAATAAACATCACGACTCACTGACGTCACCAAAGACAACAACTCCAAAAAGGGGAGCCATTTTCACAGCCATCGTCGTATCGAATTCAACTTGCCCAACCAATCCGAAACAACCCGCTGCCCAGCATCGTTCAAGCCAAGCTCTTCTTCTCTTTCCTGTCCCACGTCCACGACATTAATTCTTCGCTCCGGCTCCTCAGCCAAAAAATGCACGTCTTCATCCCAACTAGCCCGCTCCTTAAGCTCGACCCGGCCGATGCTGCGCCGCATTAAACTCGCCATTTCATCCGCCTGCGCCATGAACGTGTGTCTTGTATCGTGAACTTTTGAACCTGCCTTCGACTTTGTCTCCGGTGAATGTTGATGTTGATGCAAGGGTGACCGAGACGGTGCGTCATGTAAGAGCATTGTCTCGGGAATCTTGAGAGTCGATGTCCGCGGTGGAAACACAAGATACGATCTACGAGGCGTGGCAGACGTCTCCGCTCCGACAGCGCTCTTCTCCCCCTTCATGGCACTCACAACACCTGCAAACTCGGCAGACGCGTAGAAAGACTCGGGGATAGGCAGTCCCGGGTTATGGAAGAAGAGGCTCGGGCTCGCAAAGGGGTCAAACAGGTTGGTCGGCTCTTGGAACAGGGATACCAGTCTCTGCTGCAGGGAGTCGAGTCGAGCATTCCCGTTTGCACGCCGCATGGCCCTCATTGCGTCTCTGACGGACTTGGCGCCGAGGACTTTGTGGCCTGGGAGGAACATGGTCCAGTTGTAGATGCCGTTGTAGGTTGCGACGCCACGGACGCAAAACGGTTTATGCGGGTGTGATTCCGTCAGGGAGAGAGACATGGCCAGGCCGGCGCCGAGATGAGAGCCGTAGACGTAGATGCTGCCTCGACCATTGTCTGGTGGCATCAAAGCTTCAGCGATCCATTGATAGGCAAATGCCACATCATGCATCGGCACAGGCCAGTCGGCAGCGTTGAGGAACTCATCATCCTCCTGACTGGCGGCATTGAGGCGCTCAGTCGTCCATCGGTAGTTGATACTGGCGACGGGCCAGTCGTGCAGAAACTCTGGCAACTGCTTCACCCCATTGGCACTCTCAGGCAGCGGAGGCAAATGAACCACGAGGAACTTTGAAGGTGAAAACTCATCAATGTTGTACAAGCTGCCGCATGCGTTAGCGCTGTGTTGCTTTGGGTTTTGGGGGTTGTGGATTCACAGACTCGACGTCTACAGAGCCTCCAGAGCCGCACGTTACGGGGACAGTCTTCCGGATACGAGGGTGTGTTGATCTTAGCACGCTGAAGCATCGGCGATGAAGTGACGAAAACATGACAAGACGAGTGAACGAGTTGATGATCGGCGAGCTGCGCGCGTTTCCCATTAATCGAGAAAGCGTTCACATAAGCCCTCCCCTCCCGAGTGCTACCCTATACCTCCGGGATGGAAGAGTGGGCTGGTTTCGCTTGAATGTGGTAGGTTGAAATAAGGTAGACAGACATGCTTCACATGTTTAGTGGATGAAGCTATTTTTTTTTCTGTGTAGCGACGCTGTCTTGGAATCACATGCTGATGAATCACCATGTTGTGCAGTATTGTATTATTGTTGACTACCTTAAATATTGTATCCATGTCCTTGGCATTCATACCATCGGGCGCCGGGGGGGTTTTGGGTAAGGGTTCGCACTGTGAAAAGCGTCTGGTAAGGGCTCTGGTAATGGTTTTTGTACTTCCGTAATGGTTTTCTGCCCTAACTTCATTGCTTATAACGATTACCAGCCTGAAAAGGCTGACCAGACCACTGACTAGAAACCACCCCCGGGCTCCTAGGTACCTGTGATATGTAAGTAGCTCTACCTAACAGCCTTAGCAGTAGATAGTCCAGTAGCAACACGACACGACGGGAGTTTCTATATCGTGCCCCGTAAAAAGGGCCACTATTCTTCCAGGTGCTGCTGGTAATTCAATGCTGCAATCTCGTTTGCTCGTCTGCATATTGTCAAAAGCCCTCCTTATCGCGAGCCGTTGAAAACATCCGGCATTCAAGGCACTGCTTCATACTAACCGTATACTTGCATCCGTCAACATACTACTGCCCGACTTGCCCGCGTCCATCATCATCTTCCCATCTTTCACTCAATTGCATTGTTTATACTGTGTTAATTGCAGTGTATTTCTCCCTGATACAGTACAATGACGCTCTTGCGTCAATTCATCGTCTTTGGGACAGACAACGGTGGGTTACGTTACATCCCCCCTCCATCTCCAACCCGTCACATCACTTTGGAGCACAAAAAAACACAAAAATAGAGTAATGTGATGAATTAATCTACTGGCTAATGCTGACGCCAGCCAAGCCGGCATCGAGCGCTCATTACGCTTCGTCCAGGCCCTAGTTTCTCTCATCGCCACATATCCCGCCCTCCAAGTCGCCGCACAGCTCCATCTCACGTCGATCAGCGTCCCACCCCCAGCGTCATTCCTGCTGCTGCGATCAAAGATCAACCTCACCAGACGCCTCTTGCGCTTCTTCCGGTTCTTGGACCAGTTCAAACTGGGGTGGGATGTCTATGCCTCTGGGTTACTGGATTTCGACACTTTGCTTGATGTGCTTTGCAAGACGTCCCTGGGCGTCTTTGGCATGCTCGAGACGGCAACTCTGCTGGATCTGCTGGAAATAGACCAGCTCCAGATATTTGGACCCGAGCAGACTGCAAGCTTAAATTACCAAGCTCAGTACTTCTGGCTGACTGCCCTGTGCATCTCTCTCTTCCGCTCTGCCACTAGATTATTGCGCATTCTCGGCAATCAAGTGGCCCCCAGTTCCTCGTCTATCAACGAGAAAGAAAGGGACGCGCAAAAGGAAAATGACTTTCAAGATAGAGATTCGGCATTAACAAAAAATGACGATGAGTCTGCTCCAAAGAAGCCAAATGAGATTCAGGTAGAAACGAGCAACGGACAGACAAAATCCGGGGAGTCCGTCTCGCCGGTGGTCCTGAAGCTGATATCTGACGCCATGGACTTGCTTCTCCCCGCCTCTGCTGTTCGGCTGATTCAAGTAGATTCTGAAGTGATTGCCGTTGCCATGCTTATCAGCACAGCAGTCACCGCCAACGGCGTATGGGCTAGGTGTGGTAGGGATATGCGTCGTGGTTAAGATGTACGCAACAACAGAGTAGCAGCAGCAACCTTGATAGATACAAGAATTATACCGCCGCCAAAGGCTCATTGCTTGCTGCCTCGAGTTTCTCCGTGGGATTTTTCCTCTCCCACTCTTCCCTCTCCCGGACCATGTCCCGCTTGCACCACATGATTGTAATCCCGCACCAGAGCGCGCACCATATGAATGGCACGGCCCAGCACACGCCATATGCGACGGTTGCTGGAATCGGATGGATCAAGGCTACCACGGTGAGGCCGGCCGCCAAGATGAGGGCAGGGATGGACCAGAACAGAGACTGGACGAATAGCATTCGCCGGAAGCGGGGGCTGGCAGTATAACGCGCAGCGAGAGCTTCTCGGTATGGCCGACCAGCGCCGGCGTTGACAGCGACGGTGTCTTCAATGAAATAATACACCCCTGGCAGAACCTGTGCAAAAAGAAAGAAGATTTGTCAGTAAGAGACGCTTGTAAGTACGAGACACAGTAAAAAGATGTCATACCTTTTCGCCCTTGCCCGTAGAGCTCAGACGGAAGGGAGCACGCCAATCCATCGCGTGGAACAGCGTAATCAGAAACAAGACACCGCCGATGCTGTACAAAATGGCCGGAGCCGGCATGCAGAGAACCCTCAGCCAGACCTCATGCGGCGCACTGCCCACGATGAAGAGCGCCGTGACGGCCGTGATGGTGAGGACCGACGTCCAGTTCAGAGTGTCAAAGCACCAGCGGCTGTTGGTGCCCAGCGGACGATAAAATCTCTCCTTCTTTATAAGACGCAGCGTTCTGATGCCAAACTCGACGTACGTGGGCCCGCCCCAGATGGTTGTGATGACGGCAAAGATGATCCAGCCGGGGACGTGGCCTGCGTATCTCATCGCATAGTACAGCACAATCGGCACCACCGAGCCGTCGATAAACACCATGATGGCGAACAGAAACAGTCTCCAGCGCTTCCATCCGTGATGCCAGGTAAAGGGCAGCTGGGGCAGCAGCTGCGGGTTGTTGCCGTAGTAGTCCTGCAGAGTCCGATCTCGTCGCTTCCACTCTTTCCGCGTGCCCGCCCGCGAGTCGTAGTAAACATCTGATTCCTGCCGCAGCGCATACGAGAGGCTTCGCCGCGGCGCATCGGCGGCGCGAGGGGATTCCGGGCCGACCTGCTGGCTTGCTCGACGGGTGGGCGTGTCCATGGAGGACGCAAAGGTGACGATGTTTGGCAGCGAGGCGGTGCCTTGATGGGACATGGCGATGCCGCCGTTGACGGGAGCGTCACCAGCGGCCTTTGCCTTTGCAGCAGCAGCGGCGGCGGCGGCATTGTTTGGCAAATCCTCCGACATGGAGCGGACGGCCGCTGGATCCTGGTCTGCGCCCGGCATCGTGGGCAGCAGCGGTTTGTTCACACACACGATGCGATCAGGGAGGGTCGAATTGGAGGTTGTTGAAAAAAGTAAATAAATAAAACAATGAAGTAAGAAGAAGAAGAAAAGCTAAAGGTTTCAAAAAAACTAAAAAAAAAAAAAACTACTGGCGATAAGAGTCCTTCATTTGGCTGGGCGATGCGGGCGCCATTTCTTTAAGACTTGTTGGACTGGGTGTAGAAAAAAAAACAACTTTTAATCCAAGGGAAACAGGAACAGGGTTGCCAAGAAAGCGTCGGGCAACGGACCTTGAAGGATGATGACGTTGTCACCTGAGAGTGCCGATAACAACGCTGAGATGATCCGGCTGAGCCGATGGCATGACTGACGCTCCGTAGGGACGGAGCAATTAAAACCTGCAGATGCGCATTCACTCTCTGAGGTGCATGCAGAAAAAATACATCCGATGACCAAGGTAATCTTGCAATGGAAGAGAATTGCTCTTCTGGAGAGCCGCGACTCGACTACTAATCAAGCTTCCGGGTTGCTTTGAAAGGCTCTCCCCGTGCCATCTAGAACATGCTGTGCGAGTTACTGCAGACGGAGGTGCTTAGGTAGTGCATCCCGGGATTCGGATTCGGACACACAACCAACAGCGAGCCGGGCTACTGTTACTACCTACATACTACTAACACACTCAAGCTACTGTATGTCGTATGCAGCTTACTGATATTAAATTCGTGGTATGAATTCATTAGTTTAAACGGCCCTAAAAAAAGAATCCATGGATGAAACTTGGGGAACGACTTCCATCATCCCCCAAACCAATCTAAATCCCAAATCCATGACCTCGGCTACCCCATACAGCGGCGATTCTTTAAACTGGAGCTTCCTAACTCTAACCGGTAGGCTCAACACAATCTGCATCTCCCTTCTACTGTACTGTAAGCCTTTTGCTTGCGCTGCGACTCTCCCACATAACCGGGGCAAACCGAATCTCCATTTTACCCCATAATGTTGACATACCGACTTGTACTCTCCTGGCATCAACACCCAACCCCGCAATAGACTGTTGCTGTACATACAAGCAATCAGCATTGGAATTCTAATCTGATCGCCATCGGGAATTAAATAAAGAAGAAGAAGAAAACGCCACAAGTCAACCAGAATGACCCTGCGAGCCTCCGTCAGAGCATTGCCAAATGTATGTCACAGTACAAGCTCCCCCTGTCCATGCTTAATTCAACCTTGTCGTATTCACCAATCCAATCCAATCGCATCTAGGCCGCCAAGCGCGCGTCGAATCTTCTTCGAACAATCCAGTACTCCCATCCTCCCTCGTGTCCGTGCCACTCCAACCCGGGCTACCACCGCACCTCCATCACCCAGAACAAGAACATAGGCGGCCGCCGCTTCGCCACGCCTTCCAATGCCGACCTCAAGGAGTATGCCTTTGAGATGGCGGCTTCGTCCATTCGGTTCGGAGCTGGCGTGACCCAGGAGGTGGGCATGGACCTCAGGAACCTCGGCTCCAAGCGAGTGTGTGTCGTTACCGACCAGACTGTGAACCAATTGGATGCCATGAGACAAGTTCGAGAGAGTCTCGATCGCGAGGGCATCAACTTCAAGGTCTACTCCGACGTGAGGATAGAACCAAAGGATAGCTCGTAACTGCCCCCTCCCCCGCTGTACCCATGCAACGTGTATTGTACCAGCTTCTGCCGGCTGTTGTTTCCCTGACTCGACTAACACATTCGTCAAAACCATTAGCATCAAGGACGCAATTGCATGGGCGAGGCCGTATGAGCCAGATGCCTTTCTAGCCGTCGGTGGAGGCTCCGTCATGGACACGGCCAAGCTGATGAACCTCTATTCAGCGTACCCAGATGCAGATTTCTTGGACTTTGTCAACGCGCCACTGGGAAAGGGGCTTCCCATTGACAGGCCCCTGAAGCCGCTGATTGCAGTCCCAACCACCGCGGGTACTGGTAGTGAGACCACGGGAACCGCCATCTTTGATCTCGTTTCCAAGAGGGCAAAGACGGGTGTTGCTCACCGAAATCTCAAGCCCACCCTTGGAATATGCGATCCGCTCAACACGCGGACCATGCCCGCCGCCGTCAAGGCCAGCTCCGGTCTAGACGTCCTGTGCCACTCTCTCGAATCGTGGACAGCTATCCCATACACCGAGCGAACACCTCGGCCCACAAACCCAATCCTTCGGCCAGCCTACCAGGGAGCCAATCCCATCTCAGACATCTTCTCCCTTAATGCACTGAAGAGCACAGTCAAGTACCTCCCACGAGCCGTGAAAGACCCCGAGGATTTCGAAGCGCAGAGCGAGATGCTATTGGCGGCAACGCTTGCCGGAGTTGGCTTTGGAAACGCGGGTGTTCATTTATGCCACGGTAAGTGACCCGACCCCATGATGTCCTGAGCCACCTGCTAAGCTGACTGCAATACAGGCATGTCGTATCCCATTTCTGGCCAAAATCCAGGTTACAAGCACGCCGGCTATGAGATCCCGCACCCCATCATCCCGCACGGCGTTTCCGTAGCAGTCTCTGCCCCCGCCGTCTTCCGCTTCACGGCAGCTTCCAACCCAGAGAGACATCTCGTTGCGGCCGAGGCCTTTGGCGTTGACATTTCCAACGTAAAGAAAGAGAGCGCTGGTGAGGTCTTGGCCGAGGCACTGATGAAGTTCCTCCAGGATTTGGGAGACCAGCCGAATGGGCTCAAGGATTTGGGCTTTGGTAGCGAGCACATCGATGCGCTTGTTGAAGGCACCATTCCCCAGGCTCGAGTGCTGAAGCTCGCCCCCAACCTTGCCACGGAACTGCAGGCTGAAAAGGAGCAGCTACGGGGGCTTTTCGAGGACGCCATGAGCTATTGATGCAGCATGAAATTTGTAGCAGACTATCGGAACTTGTCTGGGTTACTCGGTATCATCTTCCTTAGCATAGCAATCTGCTTCACAATGCTTAGCTTTCGAAGCTCTGGGGTTCCGCGCCTGTCGGTTCGCCGTGTGCCGTTGGAGTAAACGACCGTGTTGTCGGGTAGTACCTCGCCGCTCGCAATGACGGACAAGTGAGACACTGTGCAGTTCTGCGTTGCATTAGCTTTGTAGCCCAATGAATATCGTATCGTAGTAGCTTGTTCTTCGTACCTTACCAATCTTGGCCCCGCCTCCAATTTTGCTTCCAACCTGAATGACGCTGCCCTCTCCAATCTCCGTCCCTCCGGCTTCCACCACCGAACCCGCTTCGATGAGAACGTAGTCGCCAAGGCTCACTCCGCCAGTGCCCTTTTCGCGGTTGTCCGGAGGTGCCCCGAGATGCACTCGCTCCTGAACAATACACCGTCGTCCGACAAGAATGCTGCCGACGCTCGATTCGATGCGCGACCGGGGATGGATCACCGTCTCTGCCTGCATCGTGATGGAATGGGAGCCCAAAAGTACCGCATTGTCCGAGATGGTGAGCGATGTGGAAAAGTTGACGGGAGGTTTCGGACCGCTGCGGTCAACAGCCGGCAGGACAGACTGCCTTTTGCTCGACATGGCGCGATGTGTTGATGTCAAGAGATGTTTGGAGTAGCTTCAAAGTAACTGGGTGGAGAGCTCAGCGTGGAATGTTGATTAGGGACCTTGGGCTAAGCCTTAAACGAGCTAGCGCTGGCGATTGTGCCAAATGTCAAGGCTGCTCTAGTACGGATTGGGCAATGCAAGCTCTCTCGGTACCTTCATGGTACTTCCCTCCATGACAATACAATACACAGGCTGCTGGGATGATGTAGATATCAAACCGTTAACGACGTTTCCATTTATGGATTCTTCTAAAGAAATCATGAATTATTTACAAATCGCAGAAACTCCCATCTACCAATAGCTTAATTGTCCTTTGGAACATTCAAACCGTCTACTCCGCCCTCGTACGAGGCAACATCATACTCCTCGGGGTATGTCTCTAGCAATTCCTTGAGCTGTCCCATCTGCTCCTTGAGGTCGGGTGTAAGGCTTTCATAAACGTCCTCAAACATGGAGCCAATGGGCGGCTTCTTCTCTCGCTCTGCTTCGCTGAATCCCTTGAGGATTTCCTTCCTCAGGCTGTCTCGGGCCTCCTTTTCCTTGGCCTCGTCCCAGCATCCTTTGGCCTCCATCCACTTCCTCAGTCGAGTGATGGGGTTATCCCGTCGCTTCCAGTCCTCGACCTCGACACGGGCTCGGTATGCAAACGAGTCGTCGGAGGTACTGTGGTGGGAGACACGGTAGGTCATGGCTTCAATAAGCACCGGCTTGCCACCGTCCTGCAGTGCCATTTCTCGTGCCTTCTTTGTGGCCTCTCTGACCGCCCAGATGTCGTTTCCGTCAATTCGAATGGTGTCAATTCCATAGCCAATTCCTCTGCTTGCAATGCCGTCTCCTCGGTACTGATCGAGGGTGGGTGTGGAAATGGCAAATCCGTTGTTGCGGCAGATGAAGACCACAGGACAAGAGCGTGTGGCGGCAATGTTCAAGGCGGCATGGAAATCACCTTCGCTGGCGGCTCCCTCTCCGAAAAAGACTGCCGCTACACGAGGCTTCGAGCTGGGGTCTTGTAGTCTCTGCAGCTTCAAGGCATAAGCCGCCCCCGAAGCCTGCGGAAGCTGTGTAGCCAATGGTGAGGAGACGGTGTGCTGTGGCGGAAAGTGTTAGTCGTCATTTGCAGGGATCGTATCGTATCCCGGGAGCGCTCACAATATTCAACGGCTTGCATCCATAGTGGATGGGCATGTTCCTGCCCCGGCCGTTGTCGTTTTTGTTGGCAAACAGCTGTGACATGAATTGCTCCGTCGTGAAGCCCCTCTCCTTGAACAGGCCCTGCTCTCGGTACTGGCAGAAGACGGGATCGTCTCTGTCCAGCACACTCGAGGTGCCAACGCTCACGGCCTCCTCGCCGGCGCTGACCATGTAAAAGCTTAGTCGGCCCTGTCTCTGAGCATCGAACATGATGAGATCCATGATGGAGATGAAGAGCATATCCTTGTACAGCTTGATGACGGCCTCATCGCTGATGTCGGGGCTGAAGGAGGGGTCAACCACTTGGCCATTCTGGTCCACGACTCTGTACGTCGGCAGGGCTGTGTATGATTGGGGCGTCTCGAACTTGAGCGAGCTGGTGAAGGAGCTCTTGAGAGCGCCGGGGAACGAGACAAATCCCGAATTGGGCCGTTGCGAGAGGCTTCCCGCACTCCGGATGGGATTGGAGATGACGGAGACGGACGGCTGAGCCAGTCTCCGGACGGAGGCCCTCCGAAGGACGCGCGAGTTGGCCTTGAGCGGGTTCAACATTTTGGCTGCTGGAAGAAGGACAATCCAAGATCTAGCAACAGCAAGATGACAGACCCCAAGTTTGTTAATATAAGAAAATCCGGGGATGGCTCTGGTTCTGGTTCCCTCTAGTTGAGCTCGGGATAAGGCGCGAGTCTGCCGATAGAGAGCGGTCGCGATTGAGCCGACAGAATCCGCCAGCGCTAACCGACAGGGGGGTTGTCCGAGGTTTCCAAGTTGAGCACTAACCCGGGCTCGAGTGGCTGGAGGTGCTTCTATTATAGAAGAAGAGACTGTCTTGGAAAATGGAAAGTGTCTGTCTGTTTTGGCGTTGTTGAATCAGTAAAGTCGGGAGAGATGATGAGAGTTGCTCGGCTCTTGGTCTTTCCAATGTTGCCTTGTGTAAGTCACCTCTGCCAACGGATGAACCTACTATTGATGCACAATGTAATACATTTTGTAAATGTGCCTGCTCTTGCTTTCTGCCAATATTTTTTTTTACACAATATCAAGTGTTTCTTTCATTTTTATCGTGTTTCCAGTTGAAATAGACTTGGTCTTTAGGTGTAGATACTCGACATTCCATGCGTGGATGCTGGGAGGGCAATTGGCAGCCAGGTGGCAGACCAGACGCAACACGATCAATCAGCTGTCAAGCACAATTGCTCGAGAATATTCTCATAAACTCATTCATTTTCGTTTCGTAATCATAGCTCATGATTTTCATGACTTTTGCAGAACCAAATCCCACCGTGTGCAAACCGCATCTCTGATGCTCCAGTTGAAGCCATCACCACACATCGCCAACCAGATCACCAGCAACATCACACTGCAACTCACAGTCAATATTATCAAAGCAACAACTAAAAAAAAAACACCACATTCCATCCATCTCAATCAATATTCCATCCTCTTTTCCATCTTCCTCCCCAAATGGCCCCTCCCGCAGTCAACCTGGTGTTGCTCATCCTCGCCCTCTTCATCCTCATCGCGCTGATTGGCTGGTTCTTCCAAACGAGTATCCACCACTTTGTCCAAGCTCTTGTCGCCCATCGCCAAGCCAAACAAGCCGAGACTCAACAAGACATTGAAGCGGCGGCAAGATCGTAGAAAAAGTCTTTTGGCAGGTTTGCAGACTCTCGATTCTTTTGTATGCTGTATCAATGCTAATCTGATCCCTCTAAAGGCTTTTACAATTGAGCATCTCGCTGGATTGGCAGATTTAACCTCTGGCTACCAGGGTAGAAAGAAGAGAAAATTAGTCTCATCTTCTTCATCTGTTCAAGAGTGAATAGCAACAATCAACAACACCAGTCACACTCAATCACCCCATCATACGCCATTCATCTCACTAAAGACCCAAAAAAAAAACACAAACCATCGCCATGTCTGGCCCTTCACTGCTAAGAACCCGCGCAAGGCTATTCCAGCCCACGGCCTTCATCTCTCATACAAACCGCCTCTTCTCTACCACCCTCCAGTCTCGTGCTTCAGATCCAACACCCACAGCAAACCGCGCCACTCACTTTGGCTATGAAACCGTCACGGAATCCGTCAAACAGGAGCGAGTCGCAGAAGTCTTCACTAGCGTTGCTGAATCATACGATAAAATGAACGACTTGATGTCCCTGGGAGTTCACCGTCTGTGGAAGTAAGTCTTGTTCCACTACCCTTCAACAACCTTCGTATCAATATCAACACAACTAATGCATCCCCTAGAGATCACTTCGTCTCCTCGTTAAACCCAGGAGCAACAAACCCCATCGGCACGCCCCAGCGCATCCTCGACGTCGCCGGAGGCACAGGCGACATCGCCTTTCGCATGCTCCAGCACGCCCACGCCGCCAACGCCAACCCAAACGTCCACGTAACCATCTCCGACATCAATCCCGCCATGCTGGCCGTCGGCAAGCAGCGCTCCCTGTCTCTCCCGGCCTCGCACCAGTCATCGCTCTCTTTCCTCGAGGCAAACGCAGAGGTCCTGCCGTCGACAATCGCGGACAACTCTCTTGACCTGTACACGGTTTGCTTTGGAATCCGCAACTTCTCCAATATGCCGGCTGCCCTGAAGGAAGCATACAGAGTCCTGAAGCCTGGCGGCATCTTTGCTTGCATGGAGTTTTCCAAAGTTGACAAGTATCCCATCTTCAATGCCATCTACAAGCAGTGGTCGTTCAGTGCCATCCCGTTGATTGGCCAATTGGTCGCAGGAGACCGTGATAGCTACCAATACCTTGTTGAAAGCATAGAGCGGTTTCCCTCCCAGACAGAGTTCCGAGACATGATTGCCGAGGCTGGATTCTCCATCGTTGGAAAGGGGTATGAGGATCTCACCGGCGGTGTGGCAGCTATTCACAAGGGCATCAAGCCTCTATGATTGCTCCCTCATATGGGGGCGACTGCTTATGTATAATATCTTGCGGAGGGGGTACAATGACTGGCACTCTGAAATAAAATAGAAATTAATCCTTCACGGTATCGCTAGCATATGACTGGCCATCATTCATAAACAAAAGACGTCGCATGGAATAATTTTTGTGACCTAACTACTTGAGGTACCAATCGAAAAACGAAGGCTAATCTTCTCAAGCCCGACACTTAATCCTCCCGGAAGCTCATGAGATACATATGTACACCATGAGAAGTTCTGGACCTTGCTCTCATACCTTCCAGAGCCTAACGCCAGATTGTCCCAAAAGGAAAACCACGTGAATGAGATTAAATTCTCAAGGCTGGGCGCGCCTGAAAAAAAAAAAACAAAGGAAGAGTGCCGCTACAGTGGCCAAGACAATCAGGGAACTCGATGCTCCTCGACCGCGTTTACTAATCGACAGTAGGAGTCGAGGGTCCCGCGGGTGACACGCCTGAGTCTCCCTTTAGACCTCCTCGTCCCCGAGATCCACGGCCTCGCTCGCTACCTCGTCCTCCACGTCCTCCGCGTCCTCCTCGCCGGTTGCTCTCAGAATCGCTGGTTCCGCCGGCGCTGCGATATCCACTAGAAGCAGCACCGCCTCGTCCGCTGCCACCCCAGGTTCCGGCATTACCACGAGTATTGAAAGGCTTGCCCTCTCGGTGGTGGAAGATCTTGACCAGAGGTTTTGATCGATCCTCTGTGGTTCGTGTCTTCACGGCTTCCGGTAGTCTGCCCATGGCTCCGTCGCGGTCCTCAATCGTTCTAAACTGGACAACCTTGTTTGAGCCTCCCCATTTCTCAATCTTGAGAATCTTGGACTTGTCAGCCTCGTCAAACAAATCGCGGCACTGCTCGTCCGTGTTGACATTCATAATGAACAGGCCAATGATATCAGATGCGGACGTCTTTGGGATTGGTGAGGTTGCTGGCTCGGGGGCGTTTGCAGATCCGTTGATCGAAGCCGAAGCCTTTTCGGCTTCCTTGTTAGCCGGGGCACTGCCCGCAGTAGGCTGTGGAGTTGATCGGTTCGGTATCGTGGAGACGGGGACAGCTGGAGCGGCCTTGGGCTGTTGAACTGGTGGCGATTGTTTGGCGATCTGGGCAGGGGGGACAGCAGGAGAGGTCGCGCTTGCTGGGGGAGCAGCAGCAGCTGTTGTAGGAGCAGCAGAGGACTGCTGCTTGGCTCCTCGATGCGAAAAGTTGAACCCCTGAGCACGCATCTCGGTTCCGATTCGTCCATCCTGGATTTCCAGCACCAGATAACCAAAAGCAGCATCGGCAAGGTTGAAATTCCACATATTCTTGAAGGCGCTTTCGTCAACTGCGCCCAAGGCACCCTGGCCCACTGGGCCTCCAAATGGATTTCCACCAGCAGCTGTCGTGGGCATCTTTTCTACAATTTGCAGGGCATTCTTCAGCAGGTTTTGCTGGGCCTCGTTCTGCTGGATAGCAGGCTCAACTTCTCCCCGAACGGTTTCCCAAACGTCGTTGAACGATGCTTTTGAGGCAGCGAGCTTCCCGCGGTAGTGATCCAACGTAGGATTGACGCTGAATTCGTTGTAAGAGCTTCCATACCTGAAGTGGAGTCCAGCCGAGACGGAAAAGTCCGCCTTCAGGGTAACAGAGAGCTGGTTCAGTATACCTTCTCGGGCGGGAGAGGCGTGCGTGATAAAGACTCGAGTCTCGGTGGGATCGTAGACACGATGGGCAGTGTCGACCAGCTCACCCATCTGTAGCAGAGTCGTCCACATGGTACCTTGCCCACCCGCAATAGTAGTGCGGCCCTCTCCATTGTCGAACAGTTTATGCATTACCACGGCGCCACCGAGACCGAGAAGCCGGAGCTTTACACCACCTACTTCCAGCAACATGGAGCGGGCTTCGTCGATGATGTGGAGGTTGTGGACCTTGTACTCGGACGACCTGAACTTTTCAAGAACGCGAACATCCTCACAGGCACCCCAGACGGTATAGACTGGAACATCGAGTTTCAGCTCTCCACTGAGTAGCAGAGGGAGTTCGGAAAGGGGCAGTTCGCTCGCAGAGAATCTGGATTTCACGGAGCCAGGGCCACCCTGCTGAATAGCCTTCTTGACCGGTTCAGAGATGAGTGGTGAGTACTGTGCTACATGCTTCAGAGTCTTCTCCACAATCCGTTCCAGAGATGTGTGATCGTAGAATCCGAAGTCACCAGTGTGGATGATGTGGTCAGCTTGAGCTTGTTTGGCGAGCTCATTGAGTGATCGTAGGTTTCCTGGGGTGAACGTCAGCGGATGTCACCCGTAACACGATGCCCACAACCGCAATATACCTCGAACGTCTGCAATGCAGAGAATCCTTATGGGCCCTGTCTGGATGATACGGCCTTGGTTGGGTAGGAGAGGCGCCGCTCCAGGCGATGGAAGGCTAGTCGCACCATTTTGTATGTAGCCGGGGGCATATGCTCGAGGCTGCACCTGTTAGCCAAATCAACGTCCAACTGAACAGCGCAGCAATCGAGGGCAGAGGGGCGTGGCGATGCGGGCGGCCATGTTTCGTCCCGCATTCTCGGTTTCCAAGCGGAAAGGCAGCATCAGGACGCGAGGCAGATGCTACCGAAGCAAGAAAAGGCACGGCGAAATGCCTTCTGTGGTGTAGGAATCCAGAGAAACCCCGAACGGGCAGCTCCCCGATCTGCCACGAGAGCCAGGGTTGAGAGACCAGCAAGAGAACAGTGTGCACTTACGACAGCCATTCTTTCAGCCAGCAGGGTACAGGGGAATCGCAGCTTTCAAAAATGGTCCGGTGGGTGGTTTCCGTACGAGAGAAGATGCTCTCAAGGGAGGATATGACGGGTATCGAAGATATGGCGAGAAGAAGAAGGACGGCGAGCCGCGAGTGAAGGTGAATTTGGCTGCTCAGAGCGAGAGTAACTATTGCTCCATAAAGGTCGGGTACTGAGTGGCTACCTGAGACGCTGATTGGCAGCCTTGCCGCAGAGCAAGTTTTACGCTAAGCCACTTGGAGGAGTAAAAGGCCAGGAACACGATAGCATTTAGGCAAAAAGTATGTGTTGAAAAGCAGTTTATGAAATTCTTTCAAATAGGATTTAATAAGATTTAATGAATTTAATTCTGAGAATCAGTTTGCCTATTAAATGGCACATTATATATATATATATATTACTTTAATGTTTAATTTTGTATCACGTTAAGTTTACAATACTAAGACGTAAATATTTACGTTATAATAAAACTATTAAAATTACACTCTATATAATATTTTCATAGTCTCTTGCTGTATTCTAATACTGTAAAAGTCATATTATATAATCCCGCCTAGCATCTGTGCAAACGGTTATCTTATCTTCATCTCATCCATGGAGCCACAAGCTTTGAGCTTCTCTCAAAGCAAACTCTGGGAGACGCCTTTTCCAACAGCCATTGATATGAAAACTCTATGGATGAGAACATGTTACGTCCATATCCGGCTTTTCCACGGAGTCTCCGGTTAATACTACGCCCTTGGGTTCTTACATCGCACGCCACTCCTCTGAGCTCTGCTCTCTGGCTGAACGGGGCAAGGCCCTCTTCCTCTGGGACGCAATGGAAGCAACGTCAAGGCCGCGATGCTTATGTCCGCCATGCTAAAGTTCAAGGACTCAAGAGTAGAGCAGCTTTCAAGCTGTTGGAGGCAAGCTTGCCCCATCTTCACATTTCTGCCATGTCTTCATAGTGTTAATATGAACAAAGATCGATGCCAAGTACAAGCTCTTCAAGAAAGGACAAACTGTAGTTGATCTAGTAAGTCATACTTGAACCAGGCCACCAATCTAGATTGCAAGGCTCTAAAACTTGTTCTCTTCTCTTCCAGGGATATGCACCCGGCAGTTGGTCACAAGTATGTCGTACCTTCGTATCCATGCCCAGTATCTGCCATCGTATTCGAATAAACTGGGAGATTCACATTTTCTTTGTAGGTTGCCGTTGATCGCACTCGACCTCATGGCCGTGTTATCGGTATCGATCTTATACCCGCCCAGCCTCCCAGGGGTGTTGCGGCTTTCCAAGGAGACTTCTTGTCCCCTATGGTTCAAAAACTTGTCAAAGAATTCATCGTCCAAAGCCACGGCGACAGGCCTCCTCAGGCCGGGAGAGACGATGTTGATGAAGACAACGATACGCTTCCAGAAAATACGATCATCGACCAGCCGAGCTACATTGATCGAGAGAGACACTCAGCAGAGAGTTCAAGCTCTCCATCTAGTAGCGCATTAGCAGAGTCGACCTCGAGAAATCTGGTGGATGTTCGTCAAACACCTCTTGTAATTGAAAACAGTGATAGTTGTGCTCCGACGCTGACCTCGATATAGGTCGTGTTAAGTGATATGTCAGCACCATGGGAACAAGCATCTGGATATAGTTCAAGGAGTCTAAGTAACCCTTATAACAGGCTGATGAACACGAGCGGCATTGCGTCTCGAGATCATGCGGGTAGTATGGTAAGAGCGAATCCTAGGCTTTTACCAACTGGAAAATGACAAGAACATGATGCTAATGACATGCAGAACCTTTGCGAGGCTGCACTTCATTTTGCCAGCGACACACTCAAACCCGGCGGCCACCTTGTCTGCAAATTCTACACGGGAGCGATGGATAAATCGTTGGAACAGCAACTCAAAGTGCTCTTCTCAGAAGTGTACAGAGAGAAGCCGGAATCATCTAGAGCAGTAAGCCTCAACCACGTCCATCCATACACGAGGCAGCATACTCATCATAACTTCCACAGGAAAGCAAAGAGGCTTATTTTGTTGCCCTGTATAGAAAGGCCAAGGCCACTATTAATCACTAGAATAAATCACACAATTGTCATCACGATTCAATGCTACGATGAATTGGTCAAGCAGATCATCAATTTGGCCATGTCCAGGCACGAAATTTTTAGGTTCGAATGATATCAAGTCACGCCATCCCATTTAGGTCCCATACATAAAGCGAAAATCGAAGATAAAAAGTATCTCCATCCTGATGCTTGCCCATTTTTTCCAACCAAATTTAGACCTTGAAGCCACGTGAGCGTCTGCGACCACGAGCGCGCTCGAACTTGCGTCCCTTGGACTCAACAAAGGGTTTCTGCAACACAGATTAGTACTCATGATCCATTGCCAGAACCAAGTATGGCGTACCTTGTGCTTGTGGGGACCGAAGCCGAAGTGCTTGACGGCCTCACGGCTGTTCTTGGGTCCACGGAGGATCAGGGTGTTGCTTCCGGTAGGAGCACGGAGAGCAAGCTGGTCCAGGGTGATGGCCTCACCACCAGCAGCGACAATGCGGGCACGGGCGGTGGCAGTGAAGCGGAGGGCGGCAACGGTGGCCTTGGGGAAGGTCAGGAGACGGTTGTCATCGGTGACGGTGCCGACAATGACGACGGTGCGCTTCTCCTCCTTGCTGAAGTTGGAAACAATGCGGGACAGGGAAACGGGGGGGCGGTTGATCTTGGACATGAAAAGTCGTCGGAGAACAACCTTGTTGAAGGCGGCATCGGTTCGGCCTGGTGTCGCAAAACAACGTTAGTCGCTCAATGCAGCCAGCACGGAAGCTTCTCGTGCCCCAATTTTTGGGTTCCAACTTACGAGCCAGGAAGCGGTACAGCTTGACCAGGAGCTTCAAGTAGACATTGTCGCTCTTGGGGGCCTTGCGGTGAGTGCCCTTGACGTGGTGGCGGTCGAGATCGATACCTGGAAAATTGGAAAACCATCGTCAGCCAGATGGTTCATGCTCAAAAATGGCTGCACATCTTCGTGAGAAGACGGCGCTCAAGTCGCAGCGAGATACACGAGGTATCATCACCACTCGCATACACAGGCTATATCAGTTTTTTTTCTTCACGTACCCATGGCGACGGCTGATGCTGAAAAGCTTGATGATGGGCTATTGTCAAAGTCAAGATGGCCGTGAATATCAAGGTGAACTTTTCCCAGAAATTTCAGGGCTTGGGACTTTGATTGGGCCTCTGATTGGTCGGCTGCTGCGCTAGTGGCAGAGCGGTCAGTAAGGGCAATTAGGGTACGCCTAGCTGACTAAGAAACGGCACCGCAACGAGCCAACTAAACTAGCCGACTTTGCGACTAGCGAGTGGGGCGTATCGATAAGCTAGCGGCGTGTGTCGCAACTTCGCCAGCCAAAGCGCATACTAGAATGAATCGAATGAATATGAACCTTCTAGCTAGCATCGTCAGTGCTGCTCACGCTATATGGCATGGATAAAAGCACGCAGACGCCCCAGTGGCCTATCGAGCCCTTCAGAAAGACACCCAGCCCTTACATTCTCCAAGAATTCGTACATGGTCTAATTACAGATAACCTGCAGTCTCATAACGACATAAGGGAATACATCCAAGCCTTTAGGGAACGCCTCTACCAGTTAGACCTCATGCAGCTTGGCTGGGGCGTTCCCCAGGAACTCCTTCAGCTGTTGTTTCTCATCAACATAGGGCCATCCTTCTCGGATTTCCGCGGTCGCATCTATCAGCGCTACAAGGTAGCTGGCTGCGGTGATGGTGCCGAACTGACTCTCGATCAACTAATTGGAAAGGCTGAAGACGGGTGGCACCGCATTAGGATAGAGAAGAGGCTCTCACAAGGCTCTGGCTTCCTCGGCTCAGGCTACACGGCCCCAGAGAGGCCTACAAAGCGCCCCAACAGTGGAAATCCCCAAGGTCAAACCCCCAAGAGATTCAGATGGCACTGGCAAGCGCCAATTCAGTGAGATCGACAGGCTAGCAGCGTGTTGCAAATTCGTCAACTAGAGCGCATATACGAGGGCATGGAGATTGAAGGCGCTAGACTGATTTGGCACCTCAATGATGTAGTAGCAGTCTGGAATGGATGATGCTTTGCGCATGACATGACGCTATCCCTTTGGTTAGCTGCACAGGGGCCATCATGTCTGTCCATCCATGTAATCGACCATATCAAAAGCATGTCGCAGCTGTTTCAACGGTTCCTGAAATTCTTGACTACCAACGTACATTCTCAGAAACTGCAACTTGTTCGGATTCGAGTTTCAGATAAAAAGACCCAGATAGAACCACAAGTTTTTTTTACATGAATCATACCCATGGCGACAGCACGCGCATACCATGACATCTGGTGAATTCGGAGCGCTGAAATCAACTATACTCAGCGTTATGCTCCTACTAACCACAGCTGAGATCTCCAATGGCGAGAGCTGCTCAATGGATGATGCCTTTTGTTTCTTAGGACGCTCCTAATGCATGATATCTCGACCTCGTGTCTTCTCAGCCATTTCATTTACATGAAAGGTGGCAGTGAGAATGGGTAGCCGCCATTCTTAACCCGGAAAACGCTCAAGAGGAAGCTGTAGACGAGGAACAATGTGATGCTCCAGACAACAACTGCAACTTGCTGAGTCTTGGAGTCGGCCATACGCGGAACTTTGACAGCCAGAGTAATGGCGCAAAAGGAGAGTATCCCATCTATCGCATAATGCATTAGCTTCTGAACGAGATGGCATAAAGGAGGCTTATCTTACAGATGGCGGCAACGATCTGAGTCTCCAAACCAAGTTGGCTCTGGAATCCGCCTGCAATGTAGCTAACTCCACCCTTGCCGTCTCCGACAATGTACGGCACTTTTCGGATATGGTTGAACATGTGTCCGCTAGTGAAGAGAAGGATGGCGATCAAGCTGACGGAAGCCCAAATGTTGCGATTCTGGACGACGGGCAGCACGTAGGAAGATGCGCTCACCAGCGCGGTGCCGACGCCAAGAACCAGAGTCACGGTCGAAGCCCATCGGAGCCAGTTAATCGGTCGCTTTACAGCGGGATGCGGCCTGTCGGGTAGTTGTCTGGAGAGCCAGGAATGGACCTGTTCAGCAGCTGGAGGCCTGTGATATGATTAGCATCAATGCCGATGTGCAGTGTTGGAGCTTGTCGATTTACCCTGCTGTAAAGTCGTATCGAGAGGGTTCTGGCGAGGCCGCGGCATGAGGTCCTACGGTGGGATTGAAGAGCATGAGCACCGGGGCGGTTTGAAGACCAAGCTGTGGTACGAATTGATGCGTTAGCATGCCCATGAGGTTCATATCCATCCAATTGCAGCTTTACTACCCACCGAAATGAAGGTTTCCCGACCATCAGCAAAATCCAAAGTGCCAAAGATCAATCGAGATTCGCCAGTCTTGTCGCCCCGAGTCCAGCTCTTTCCCAGAAGATCCCACTCGGGCTGAAACTCCTGACAAAGCTGGCAGCCGAATCTGGTCTCCAGAGCAGTAAGAAGCACAGCGACGCTGTGGTTCCTCGGGGCCGTCGTCAGAGAGGCATAGGTGGCATCATTCAGCTTGATCGGGGATGAGCGCTGAGCCAGCCGATTGAATTCCTCGTACGAGTCGGTCTGTGCCTTCTTTGCGAGGCCCCCGCCAATGAGCAGAAAAAAGGGCACAATTGACGAGAGGATGCGCATCTTTGCGGTTGTTTGCGGCTGTTGTATCAAACCGTCTAAGCACAGCTTGCGATGCGGCCAACTAAGCTGCCAAGTGTGTTGCTGTGCTGTCACCAAAGCTGTCCCGTTTTTATGATTATGTAACTACCAGTGGCTCTTGACCATATGAGGCTAGCGCATGAGGTTGACGTAAGGTAGCATCTACGACCTCGCTACTTAATGCAACTGCGATTTAGACACATGACGGGAAGTAGACTGCAGGTCCTGTCTACCCCTTTCGGCAGCTCCATTCCTGTCGCCAAGGTTGCTCCGACTCGGCAGCTAATCGCTAGCAGTTGGGAACTTGCATGTTTGCCTTGTTGTTTACCATGTCAGACGGCGTGGGCGAATCGGAGATGCAGCTGCGATAACGTAAAAGAGCGTCCTCGTCAATCGCCAGATTTACTCGGCAGTTCATCTTGTCATTAGAGGTATTCCCATCACCACCGCATATTCTTTTGCTCTCGAATGAGTGACAGCCATGAGCGCCGACTTAATTGAGGTAGCCATCCCCTTTATCGCCAATGCTTTGACGGTGTGCTGATGTGAAGCTTTTCCAGCGCACGACGCGTCTTCACGCCCTGGACCTTGAATATCAGCAAAACCGCCATAAAACCGACCTTATTAGCCGGGACGAAGATGCTCGTCGTCTGCAGCTGCGCGTGCTGCTGCTTCGAGATGAGAACACTCGGCTACAGGACAAGTGTGCCGCGAAAGACGAGGAGATAAAGGCTCTGTCACAAGATGGCGATCGATTGCGCGTCGAGCTTGACGGATTCAAGGCGCAAAGTCAGCCCGAGGATGCGCGGACTAAAGACGACGCAATTGAGGCGGATGATTCGGCTGTAGGTCATATCCAGAACCATGACAATCGCACTCTCCTCGCTAATAAGCTTAAGGCGGATACAAAGTCAAGCGAAACCCATATGCAAGATTTGAGCAAGGCTTTGGATGAGAACATGGCCCTTACGAAGGAGCTGCAACAGTTGCGACCTGAAATGGAGCTTTTAAAGCAGCAAGTCACGAATTACGAAAAGATGTTGTCTGAACAGCGGAAGACGGAGCTCGCGAGCAAGAAACAGTCGAAGCCTGGGAGGTCAAACGACGAGAGCGAAAACATGAGCGAACTTCGAGCAGCTTTGGACAAAGTCACGGAAAAATTGGCTGAGGAAGAGAGGCAACGCGAAAGCACCAAGTCATATCACCGGAAAGAACTAGAAGAATCGGAACGCCAGAACGATAAACTGGAACAGAGAATATCGAAACTGGAAAAGAAGTTGAAAGATTCGCAAAAGGAGCTTCGCGACGTGCGGAAAGAACTCAAGGCACCTCAACCTAGCTCGAAAGAGGACGAATCAGAGGGCGGAAATACTAGCAACAACCAAGAAGCGACGGCAAAGCCCCGAGCAAAGGATGAGAGGCTGTCGCGGAGGAACAAGCGCGCAATAGAGCAAGCGGCGGTGGGCGAAAAATCTGCATTTTCAATCACACCGTTCCTCAACAAGACAAAAGACACTACCGCCAAAGAGACCAATGGCCTGGGGTTGACGCTCGACGATGTGCTTGCACAACCCGGAGTCGATGATGCATCACCGCTCGTGATGGCAAACAAATCATCTGATGCCAAGCCCATAATAGCACCAGATGCCGAACTGGAGACTACTACACCTTTGAGGCCTCGAGAAAAGCTGAAAGCAAAAAAGAAAGCGAATACTACTACAGCAGCTACAACAACCGCAACTATAACAGCAGAGGATGAAGACCATTTGTCCAAACTCACTGCTTCCGTTCGGAAGATAGCACGTGTGAGGCCTGACGACACAAAAGACGAGGAAACATCCAAGGATGTTGACTCCGACGATACAGCACCTTCCAAAAGGAAAAAGCCTCACGAACCTGCCACGACTGACCCTGGCTCAGTCTTTGAGCACAAGAAGAGGAAGAGAAAACTTCTGAACAAGACTAACGATATCATATTAGAGGAAGATGAGACCGTGGAAGGAGTCCCACCCGTGGAAACACCGGCAGGTCGACCGAGAAGAATGAAGTCCTCCGCCACAAGCGCTTTCAACTCGCAAACCGGTACCAAGCCGTTTTCACCTTTGAAGCGGCACAAACGGGGGGTTAACGCAAGCTTTCTGGCTTGATCAAGGCGACCAACCCGTCAAGAGTTTAGTACCCCCTCCCCTTGAAATCATCTGCAGCAAAGGCTGCGTGGCTAAAGGCATCTTCTTTTCAAGACGCCAAAGACAGCATAGCATATTATCATCAAGCATTGTGATTCTTCTGTGTAATTATTTGTTCTACCTAGGGTACAAAGTCATGGGATATAGAAGGAATGCAGTGCCCCTTTACTCCGTAGTGCCCTTTTGTTTATTAGGACATGTGTAGGTCAGTGGTTCGCAGCAGCAGAGAATTACTACTACTACTACTACTACTACTACTACTACTACTACTACTACTACTACTACTAGTAGCATTGTTCGGACCCAGAACCTGGACAGCACTTTAGCACTGCTGCAGACTGGACAACTCAATGGCAGATCCTTGAAGCTCAGCCCAATAGAGTAATGGTTCGTCGAGAGGGAGGGGTTGCATCAATGCTGCTGCTCTTCTCTCCATGGATTTAAATCCCACCTCTTCTGGGCTTTCATGTACAGATACAAGATCATTCGAATTAACCTAAATTATATTCACAGCAGACATAGTTTACGATACCCTTGTTCTCCTAGCGCCTGTACAGTCTGTTTGCTTGGGCTCATATCGTGAATATACTCGTACGTAACTTCATTCATACAGCACCCCTCATACTGCATATTTGGTGGTGCTAAAGCGCACTAGCAGATAACGGATTGATAGCCAAGATTTCCCACCTTACTCAGCAGCGGTAGCCAATCGCATCGCTCGGCCCTAATTTTTCGCCCACACAAAAAATTCACAATTTCAACCAGCCCCAACCTCGAGAGCTTAACATTCGGCTTTGCAGAAGAGAAGTGGTCTTCACAGCTAAAACTCTCTTTCCTCACCCATCTCTTTAATTCTTTGCGCAGAGGCGAGGCTGTACCCAATGGCTGAACAACTGATCCTCAAAGGTACCCTCGAGGGCCACGTACGACTTCCTCCCCTCCCCCATCGCTGCCGTTTCTTCAATTTCGATATAGGGACTGACAATTTTACTGCAGAATGGCTGGGTTACCAGCTTGGCCACCTCAATGGAGAAGTACGATGGCCTTGCGATGCTCACGAGCACCCTCGATCCGTTTGAACTAACAGGAAATTAGCCCCAACATGCTCCTGTCTGGTAGCCGAGACAAGACCCTGATCATCTGGAACCTCACACGCGACGAGACTCAATACGGATACCCCAAGCGATCCCTCCACGGCCACTCCCACATTGTGTCCGATTGTGTATGTTTTTTTTCTCCCGCCCAGACGTCGGTGATGATTTAGGAAAAGAAGAATTGTGTGGGCTGATTACAGTTTGTTTTTGAACAGGTCATCTCCTCTGACGGTGCCTACGCCCTGTCTGCCTCTTGGGACAAGACCCTCCGTCTGTGGGAGCTCGCCACTGGCACCACCACCCGAAGATTCGTCGGCCACACCAACGATGTTCTCTCCGTCTCCTTCTCCGCCGACAACCGACAGATTGTCTCCGGCTCTCGTGACCGCACCATCAAGCTGTGGAACACCCTCGGTGACTGCAAGTACACCATCACCGACAAGGGCCACACTGAGTGGGTTTCCTGCGTCCGATTCAGCCCCAACCCCCAGAACCCCGTGATTGTCTCCAGCGGCTGGGACAAGCTGGTCAAGGTACGTGTTTTCGGATTTATTTGCTCAGCGCTCCTCCTTTACATGACAATTACACCCATTTTTCATGATGTACTGCAATATTTCAAGTATTTGCTACTTCAGAGCCAGCAATGGCCATGAGACAAACTTTTTATCCACTTTGCCCTGAATTTGTTTTATTCTCTTTTCCTTTTATTTTTATCATAATATAAGGAAAGAAGAAGAAAACAGCACATATCCATGATATATATATATTCCCTGACTTGCATGCTGAACCCTTGTTTCTAACATGCAATGTCCAATAGGTTTGGGAGCTGTCCAGCTGCAAGCTGCAGACCGATCACATCGGCCACACCGGCTACATCAACACCGTCACCATTTCCCCCGATGGCTCTCTCTGCGCCTCCGGTGGCAAGGACGGTACCACCATGCTCTGGGACCTCAACGAGTCCAAGCACCTGTACTCCCTCAACGCCAACGACGAGATCCACGCCCTCGTCTTCTCCCCCAACCGATACTGGCTCTGCGCTGCCACCGCCAGCAGCATCATCATCTTCGACCTCGAGAAGAAGAGCAAGGTTGACGAGCTCAAGCCCGAGTTCACCTCCGTTGGCAAGAAGAGCCGGGAGCCCGAGTGTGTCAGCTTGGCCTGGTCTGCTGACGGCCAGACTCTGTTCGCTGGTTACACTGACAACATCATTCGTGCCTGGGGTGTCATGTCGCGGGCATAAATGTGTGTTTTTGTCATGGTAGGTCGGGAAGTCAGAGAGAAAGGGGGGGTTGGGGGTTGTGAGCATGGCTTGGGACGTGGTGGAAATACAGGGCATCGCATAGTTAGCTTCTCTTCCTCAAGATGTAACCGAGATAAGGGGGCAACAGTTGTGTGTGAATGTAACCTGGCAGAGGGTTAAGAATTGCTGGCATCAGAAATACTGAAAAAAAGGGTACTGGACACAATTCGCTTCTAATAAAGAAGATGGTTCTTAGCTCCTGTTTCTACCGAGTACAAGGGAAAAAAGGAATATCAAAATTTCATACTGTTCAATGCAGTCGGGTCGAAATAGTGAATGTGAATGGCATCGTGAGATGCGCTTGATTGTTCTATCCGTATTAACCCCTTGTCCCGTACTTTGTTACTAACTAGTCGGGAGCGACACTACGGGTATCATATATAAAAAGTTTGGCAGAATAGCCGTTATTCTGACTGCCTTTTGACAGTTGTGTACCTGGCGGTGATTCGATCCTAACGTGTTCAAACGCATTGGATCACAAAGCGTTTGACTTTTTGCCCAGGCGAGACACCTCTCGTCGGGAAAACTTGACATCAGCATTGACCAGCATGCTATGATCCGCAATGTCCACCTTGTCGGCGTGTTCTCTAAACCGGTCTCCCCCCATGAACCGCTTCATGGTTGACTCCCATAACCGGAATCGCTCTTTGCCCTGGCTGTCGCGTTCGACCAGAGATTTGACTTCCTTTTGCTTGCGCATTTTCGAAGCGCGCACCAGCCTTCGCAGAGCATCCTCGCCCAGCTGTGCGCTCTTTGCCGCATCTTCTCTGATTTGCTTAGAGTCTTTAGTCCTCTTATCCTCTTGCGGCGTGAATCTATAAGTGTGTGTGCTGGGGAATCCGGGGAAGGATGCTGGTATATATGGCTTGCTGTCCTTGTCCGGCTGGCCGCTGAGCTCGACGCCGAGGAGCGGGAGAGAGGTAAATGTGTCGTCGGCGGTTACGACAGCGAGGCCGCGATCGGTCGCATTTTGGTTAAAAACTCTGCTTTTGACGTGCGGTTTGAGAGACGAGAGCGGGATGTTGTGGTATTTTAGCATGCTCTCAAAGTCTGACGGGACGGGAGCTTCGCGACGTGACGATATTGCGAGCCGCTTGACTTCTTGGATGATGGAGCTCATGTCTACGGAGATGGAGCGCGTTAGCGGAGAAGAAACGGGTTGGTATCGTATAGGATTTGAGTCATACATTGTTCAACCAATTGTGTGAAGCTCTCCAGCGCCTCGGGAGTAGCAGATTCGAACCCATCATGCGACAAGACCATGGCAATGGATCGCTGGATACCAGTGCGGGCAAACTGGTGCACGGTTGGAGACATGGAAGCGACCGCCGACATTGATTCCTCGTCGGCCCATTCTGAAGGAGCAGCATCTTGCTGTACCTGAGCTTGATTCGTTCCGGATTGCTGCTCTTGGCCATCTCGCGACGCAAGTCTCGGCCGCTTTGGATCCGAGTCGGTGGTGGTAGCAGAGACGCTGCGTTTACGCGACGCTGTGTCGGACATGGTTGCTTTCGGCTGGCAGGAGGCGAGGATTGGATAGGGCGAGTGTAACGGGGTGGGTGAGTGAGTGAGTGGGTGGTGATGGGATTTGAGGAGGAGAGGAGCTCAGCTGCTGGGGTTGTCGCGCCGTAGAGCAGAGAAGAGTAGAGCAGAGCAGAGCTACAGAGGGTGTTTGGGTGGTAGGTACTAATTGTTACAGCACGTGAAGCTGAGATGCCATTATCGATAAGCCAGTCGCTCGGGTTATTGTGGGTGAGCTGGAACAGTTTGTACATTGAAGGATGAAGAGCAGTTATCATGAGTTGTATGGAGTATGTTGTATCCTATTAGTAATTGTCTTCTATATCGCGGTGACATGGTTCAAATTGTATCCCCAGCAAACCAAACCAAATCCCATCACGTTACTGTGCCTCCATGCCGCCCATTTTGCTGGCCTCTCAGCCCCGGCATCAGCAGCGAAAACTACGTGATTGGGCGGGCTATACACGGAAGGGAAGCACTTTGGCATAGCCATTCCATCCGCTTTTAATTCGTACCAGAACCGACGATAACCCGAAGTCGAGGCACACAAGCGCCAACACACAATCCAGCCCGGCTTCTGTTGATGCTTTTTTCCCCAAGTTGCATCTTTGGGTTCTTTTTTCCTTGCTCCAATTTCAAGAGTTTTTCGTCGTTCCGAGGTTTCGAAAAAAGGGGCCATTGCTGCCGCCTGTTTAATTTACGTTTGATTCGTCGCGACAACTTTTGCAACGGGGGATTGAAGTTTTGAACCGAGGGGCGACGGACCGACGATCCTTGGGAAAAGGCACTGTCGAACTTGCATCGCCAGTTTCCGACGGATTTCCATCTCTCTTGACGAGCATGCCCCCTGCGTTTCCGGTTCCCAAGTCGCTCATTTACACGCATTCGTCGGCAGCGATCAAATACGACCGAAAGATATTCTAAAGAGCAGAGCGACGCTGCGTGGCCGTCGACCAATGCTGTCGCTTTGGCAGAGATCGGCTTAAAGCAACCCTCGACGTTGAAAACGCTACTTTGATCCCTTCGAGATCAAGTCGGCTCAATTGAGTCTCCCGCCATCATGTCAGCTGTACGCGGTGCCCTCGACTGATCGTCGACCACCACGCATGTGCTTTTCCGGCTGCTAATTTGATTCTCGATAGTCCGTACCCGACGCGCTCAAGCCTTCTCCCGGCACCAATTGGTCTTTGCAACTCAAGGAGACCGTCTCGCAGCCCGTGGTCGCCGCCTTCTGCGGTGGAGGCGTGGCCGGCGCTGTCTCCCGGACGGTGGTGTCGCCGCTGGAGAGACTCAAGATCCTGATGCAGATCCAGAGTGCCGGGCGAGAAGCCTACAAGCTGTCTGTCGGCCAGGCACTGGGCAAGATGTGGAGGGAGGAAGGGTGGAGGGGCTTCATGCGAGGAAACGGGACAAACTGCATCCGCATCGTTCCCTACTCTGCTGTCCAGTTTAGCAGTTACAACTTTTACAAAAAGGTAGTTTGCGTGCTATTCGCACTTTTGTAGATCCGGAAAGGCTAACCACGCGGCGTGATTAGAACATCTTCGAGCCCTATCTGGGAACCGACCTCAGCCCCTTTGCTCGCCTCGTCTGCGGTGGCCTTGCGGGCATCACGTCCGTCGTCTTCACATATCCGCTCGACATTGTCCGAACGCGCTTATCCATCCAGTCGGCGAGCTTTGCAGAGCTAGGAACGAGGCCAGACAAGCTGCCGGGCATGTGGGCGACCCTTGTCTCGATGTACAAGGCGGAAGGCGGCATGTCGGCGTTGTATCGTGGCATTGTCCCGACTGTGGCCGGCGTGGCTCCCTATGTGTGTTCTCACTGCCTCTCGCTCCATCATGCTGGGATAAATTGAGGTCGGACGCTGACAAGTCGATAGGTTGGTCTCAACTTCATGGTGTATGAGTCGATCCGCCAGGCATTGACTCCTGAGGGCGAGCAGAACCCCAGTGCTCTTCGCAAACTCCTGGCGGGTGCCATTTCCGGCGCAGTCGCTCAGACATGTACCTATCCATTGTAAGTCGTCTCTGGTTTTGTACTTTATCCTGTGATCGATTCTCCTGCTCACTGTCCATGTTCTGCATAGCGACGTTCTACGACGGCGTTTCCAGATCAACACCATGTCAGGCATGGGATACCAGTACAAATCCGTTTCAGACGCCGTCCGCGTCATTGTCCTCCAAGAGGGCGTCAAGGGGCTCTACAAGGGCATCGTCCCCAACCTGCTCAAGGTGGCGCCCAGCATGGCTTCGAGTTGGCTGAGCTTTGAGGTTACGCGTGATTTCCTGACAGATCTAAAACCGACCGAGGAGAGTCGAAGTTTATAAGAAAGGTTCTGTTTGGATTAGATGCATTGCTGTCTTTTTATTTTACTTTTTTTTTTGTTTTTTCTTTTTGTTTTTTCTTCTTCTTTCTTTGCTTCCCTCGTCATTTCTAGCATATAATATGTGTGTAAATATGAAGCAACGCAATGGGTACATATAGATGGAGTCAGAACAAAGTCGTATAGATACTGGGCTAGGTAGCATAAAATATCAAAAGCTCACGCACGCTACATGGGTATAATTAATGGCTGCTTGGGATATTAAATAAATAACTTGCCGCTTTTGAACAATCAAGTATTATATCGCAGCCCTTGGCTCAAGTGATGGTACCGTATAATAACGGGCTCAAGTGGGTCGTCTGGATGCTTACCACAAAGCCCCGAATCATTACCATATCATCCTCCATCATATCATGCTACACTACCTATAATACTGGATATTCACACAAAGTGCGTGTCTGAGCGTGCCGTGCAAATATCGACCCTGAAAGAGGTGAATCAGGCGCGCCGAGGTCTATTCGAGGGTCAGGCAAGGGAACAAACAAACAAGACGCTATGGCGACTCTTCTCTACCAAGGCCCATCCACCTGCTCACCTTGACCTTCTTTCATCCACCTTCATCTCTTCTTCCACACTCACTCTCTTCTTCGTCATTCTCTCTCAACATCTCATTTTAACGCTCTTTTTTTTATTGATCAACCCGTTGGCCATTTAAATAGTCAACCCATCGAGTTTCGCGCGTCTCCAGCCACGCGTCTTCATGTCATCACATCTTAATGACTTTGCTAATCTCTTCACATCGGGGTGCCAGCTTTGGGTATTGCCCAGACACGCTCTCCCCGGAAACGTGTTGAAGTTGTACATCAAAACACTCATTATATACCGTTTCTCTACGGCCGGCCACTCTTTACTCGCCGATGAATGAATGACTCAGCCCCTCGCACATTGACCTTTTTGGTGAATCATCATCATCATCATGCCCCCAAAATCACAACCAAGCGATGCCCCTGCACCGCAAAGCCGAACATACCGCTCGACGCCATCGGCCAAGCAGGTCCGTTTCCCCATGAGTCGCAGCAAAGTCCGTGGGCAGACCAAGGCCGCCCAGAAGCGGGACAAGAACGCGTCGTTGAAGCAGCAGACGCTCACGCAAATGGACTTTGTCTCGTCGTTTAGCGAAGAGGTGACGCTTTCGGATAGCGACGAAGCGTCGGATGATGCATTTTCCAGCCCAGAGAAGCCCGTCATTCATCAAAAAACCTCTTTGGAAGCTCAGTCAAAGGACAAGGAGGAGGAGGAGACGGTGGGAGACACGCCCGTCATTCAAGACTCTTATGCCTCTCCAGACGACAGCCTGTCGCCCTTGAAACTCCAGCCTATCCAACTACGAAATGTAGTGCCATCGCCCAGCCGCGTGAGAGGCACACCACCGCTGGACACAGTCAAGGCTTCTCCACGCCGTCGCGCCCACTGGAGTAGCAATCTAGGGGGTTCGAAAAGACTCAAGCCGTCTCAGGAAGACGACGTTCCATCTCCGACACGAGTCCGGTTCTTGCCTGCCAAGGATGTGGACGACCGGGAGATTCCAGACTCTGATGAGGAATACGAAGAGCTGGAGTTGCTGGAAGAGGATCAAGTAGTGCTCCAAGAGACGTTTGCGACGGGCCAAGAAACGCAGCTTGTCTTGGAGGAGCTTGCGTCGTTGGAATCTCCAGAGCAACGAGAACAGGGGCCGAGCGCAGTACCCAGTCAAGTATCGCCATCTACAGCAACTTCATCCGGAGCTTCTCTACACAACAAACCTGTTCCTCCAATAGAGACGACTAATCCTCTACCAACAACAAAAGCACCATCACAATCCCCCACCACCTCGCCATCGCCATCACCGAATCCCACCTCCGAATCCCACCGCCAAACCGATCTCAGCCAAAGTCCACACGATCAAATCTTCGAATCTCAACGCGTCCCCCTTCACATCCTCCAGTCATTCACCCCCGTATCCGCACGCACAGACATCCTCCTCCCCATCCCTTCCAAAGTCCTCGCCTCTCTCATCAACGGCTCCGAGCCACTCCTCCATCTGCCCTATCGACTTCCTCAGCTAGTTGCGCGGTTCTGGCTGCTGGACCAAGAAACCCTACGCTACATGGCCTGCGTACAGCCCGGCGAGCCCAGCGGCCCCAACTGGGACTATCACGTCGATCAAGTATACGAGCTCAACAACCCAGTGGAAGAGCGCGATATGCAAGAAGAGGGATGGGTCACCGGCCAGGTCCGACGCTATATTTACCTGCCCCCAGCCATAGTCGGCCAACTCCTCTGGAACCTCAGATGCGCCACCTTTGACCGTACAGGCCAAGAAGAACATGACGATGGAAACAGCGCCGTCGAGGCTTTGGATTCGCGCTCGCCCGAGTCCAGCATGCCTTTACATCCAGCGGCCCATTCCGGAAGCCGCTCGACTACTCACGATGCCGGCCAGCCGAGCAGTTTGCTGTTCCAAGACCACGGGAGCTCCTTGGCCACTCTCCCGGCAAATGCCGTCTTTGATTCCTCTCCGCTGTTGACAAAGAGCCAGATGCTTTCCGACAGTCTACTTAGCGACGATGTTTGATAGATAGCCTTGAAATATTACTAGAATTTGAATAGCTACATGGATGGATTAGAATCATCATGATGATATAGTCAATTAACAACTCACGTCTGTAATTTTACCCCGAGTTTGGCAATATGAGATTGCTCTGACCAAACCCCCATTCCTCTGTGTGCTGGAAATCTTTCCCTGCTTTTCGCCGCCGTTGCATATGCGTGCATTCCTCGAGGCCTTTCATCACTCTGCAACAAAAGGCTCTCTGCCCAAGTCCATATATCAAATACATTTTTCATCATTCGCAATATACTATTCCGTATTAATAGACTGATCCGTCCAACCACGCCGTCTAAGTAACTAGCCACCCATGCTTTTCACTTGCCTTTCACTCCATCATGCCGCACCAAGTCCCACGACTCGACTGTCAGCAGCTCATGACAAATGGAACGCTCCTTGCCCTTCCCTGATTGCAGTGTACAGCTGCTTTTTGAGGATATCCATGGTAGTGTAATCTGGAAGCTTTAGATAATTCACGCACGTCATGACGCTCGGAAGGTAAGCGTCTGAGGTGTACGGAGGCTCGCTGGGTTTACAAACAACAGTAAACATTGGAGTTAAACTTTTGAACCCTGGTTAACAGTAAGCACATGTTCCCATGCATCCAAGGCGACAATGGAAATACTCACCGCCAATGGGAAGCTTGGGGCTACCCGTAGTAAACTGTAAAAAGTCTCGTCGTTGTTTGAGATCCAGTTCGCTCATAGTCTGCAGTAAGTTCTTGACGCTTCGGCTGTCCATGTTGTAGCCATGGTCGGCCTTTATCGAATCCATGAGAGCTAGATCAACAAAGTCAGCTAACTGTTCATTTTTGTCAAGTATTCTAGGAATAAACTCACTCTCTAGACTCCAGTCCTCTTCTACTCGGCCAAACAAAGAAACCAATTCGTCTGGCGTAAAGGCTCTTAGTGCCGTGTATGGGAAAACCTGCGAGAAGCCAGTGCGGAAGGCGTCAATCTGACGTTTGACGCCAGACCCCAGAGTCATGTCAATGACCCTTTCCAAGTATAGATCGACATTCTCAATCGTGACTCGCTTCAGGGAGCCGTGCTCTTGGAGCTCAATATCCGGGTAGCCGGGCAGGGTAAAATCGAGACAGAGGTCATCCAGCCTCATATTGTCAATCATAATTCCCTCGGTATCTGCCACCTTCTGCGCAGGCGTGCGGGCTGGGTCTTCGTCAATTTCTTTCTTGGCCAGCACAAACTTTTTGATCGTAATGAGCGAGCGAGCAAGAACAGGATCGACAATCTTGACTGCTCCTAGAGATGGCTTGACGCCGGTCAGAGAGGCATCTCCGATTCGGAAAAAGATTGGATTCAAATGAATATCAATGATGCGTGAGTCAATCATTGACCGAGCCACAAATTTTCCGAGAGCTTTGAACATGTGAAGAATGCGCTCTCCATTCGGTGTTGTCGCCTCCTCAGAGCTGAGCGGGCGAGGAAACAGCCCTGTTTGGCCTGACACAAACTCGTCTGAGCCCGCAGAGTCGACTTCGCGCCAAAGCTTGAGCTTCTTCTTGGAGAATTCCTTGGACACTGTAGAGTAGAATTCAAGGGTTGGGCCCAAGCCTGTGCCGACTTCCTCGAAATACTCCACCTCTAGTATGCTTTGAGAAGCACCGTACAGTTCCATAACTTTCAACGCGGATTCGAGAATCTTTAGTCGAGATATTCGCACCTTTTGCCGCTGGAGGCGGCCCAAGAATGGCCGCTCGTTGGAGCGATCTCGCCGGTTATCGTCTGTGGAATACGCATTCTGCCAACGAGCCATTGACCTGGCATACCCAAAGGATGTCGACTGGAGAAAGAGATGCCGCGTCTCAAAGGGGAATAAAAAGGGGTAAAGGCGTGCTAGGTCTTCAGACCAGCTTGGCAAGCAGCTGCTTGCGACGATCAGTGGCTCCTCGAGCTGACGATTGAGCTTGGCCGTAAGCTTTGTGTTCACAAACTGTGACAGCAGCTCAACGCGCAGGCCAATGAGGCTATTCCGATTCTCGACCAAAACGTCTTCTATGTTTGCATTGAGGTCGTGAAGGATGTTGAGAAGTTGCAAGATGGAAGCAGTTATTGGGTGCTTCGCCAGTGAAGCCGCCATGCCTTTGTCTACTTCTCCATCAGCTTCGGCATTGAAGCTATTCGTCCTGGACTCTGCAGGGGGCTGCCCAGAAACTCTTCGAAACTTGATGGGATGCGTCGAGGACCAGATGTTTTTATTACCATGGTCATTCGTAGAAGATGTCGACATGTGAACGGCGCGGTAAATGGTTGTCTCGTTGGGAATAACCTTGCCATCTAGAGTAAACTCAATATGCCAATCTTGCGGGATAGTCTGAAGTATAGAGGCGTAAGAAGCATGCCGTGATGAAGGGTGGGGTGCTGCATGCGCACTGTTCCTATACAGTACTCGATCGTAGTCACGAAGATTTGCTCCAGGTGGTGTCGCAACTCTTGAGTTGTCTTCCTTTCGAGTCAAAATGGCGTTCTCAGCAGCTACTTCCAGATTGACGGCAGAAGTATCCGCCTCTCCCTTCTCTCCAATGTCTTCGTCGAGCTCACCGACAATGGCATCAAGAGCAGTACCATCACCAGCGTCATCGTCATCGTCATCGGTGAGCTGCTTCTCGTCCGCACACTCCAAGGTAGGCTGCGGCGCCTTGTCTTCGTCGGGAGGACGAGTCGGGGGCGTTGCTACACCTGCCGGTGATCTGAAAAGCCGGGAAGACCGCCGTAAAGATCCTTTGTCGTTGGAGGGTCCGGCATGCGGGGGCGGATTGGACATCTCGGCTGGCTTGCTGTTGATGGCTCCAGAGAATCTAGAGCCCGAAGACGCAGAAGATGTCGGTGGCAAGGGTGGCTGTTGCGTAGCCCCAGGCAGCGCGGAAGACTGCTCAGTTAGGCCGGCGCCTGCTGTGAGATTCTGGGATAAGCCAGAGCTGGCTATAGCCGCAAGAGCCCTAGAAAGCCCATCCCTTCGAGAGATCCTTGGCCGCTCTGCTAGGCTAATTCGTGGGCGAAGATAATCGTCCAGCGACTTGAACGTAGCAATTGCGTGAATGGAAACCATGATGTTTCGATAGGGGCGCGGAATCGATAACTCATCGTCCGCGACGAGCCTGAGTTTAAGCTGCTTGCCCAGCATTGAGGCCGGACTGCTGCGATTACCTTCAAAGCTGTTTTGATGAACTGTGATAACCTCGAAGTGCTCTGACCTACTGAGCAGATCTTGTAGTTTATGAATCAGCACACTAAACGGCGTGGCTTGCGATTCAATGATGCCAGTTTTAGGTCTAGATTTCATTGCGGGACTCATGAATACTTCTAAGAAGCTTGCCTGAGCAGAGTGCGCCAGTGCTTCGTCGGGATTGCTGAAGACTGCGAGGAGCACCCTTACCATGCCAGAGGCCAAAAGCTCTGCGCTAGTAACGCTTTCCAGGATATCGGTGTCAAAGTAAGAGGAAAGCTTCGAGAAGAGCATTCGTCCAGTTTCCGGAGACAACGTTTTGGATGTGCGAGTCAAATAAAAGGCCTCGAGCTCGTCTGCTAGATGAGACAAAGTTTCGAGAATCTGCGTGGCCTGCGCTCGCATTTCTTGACTGCGGCCGTCTTTTTCGTGGGCCTCTAGGAATTTTTTGGCGATGACGACGATACGAGACTTCATCAGTTGAACATTGGAGACGTAAGGAAGAGTTGCGGCATCCAAAGACATTGACGAGCCACGGGAACTAGCTGGTGAAGCGTCGCTGGCGTTGAGCTCATTATCGACATCCTCATCATCGCCGCCAGAAGAGTGGTGCTCATGAGCAGCAACAGCATCGCCTTCGTCCTCAACCTCTTCGTCTTCGTTATCATTGTCGTCGGACTCATGATCTGATGACGGCGCGCTGCTATCGCCAGCATCGGGCAAGCTCAATCTTTGAGACACATTCTTCGATTTGGAAGGGTCCTCCTTTATGCTGGGCTGGCCATCACCCAGGGCTAATTTTTGTATCTCAAATATCACGCCCTCGCGATAAAGCTGATATCGATAAACGCTGTCAAGGCGAGTAAGGAGTAACTCGGTCGCTTGAAGACCTAAAATAACCAGCGAAGGATGATCTTCTTGTGACAGAATGGAAGCCAAAAAGGATGCATAAGGTACTGGCGCCAATGCATCCGCAAGCAGGCCTTCGTCCAAGTTGGAGAGCATCTTTATCTGGGCAGTCAGGACTTTCTGGCGCACGCTCAGGTTGATTGTGCTGGAGAAGGCGTCGGTTAATGTTGGAAATATGATGAGCACGAAACGGCGAACTTGGTCCTTGCAATCTTTCAAAAGCTCAAGGCGGCGGTCGTTGTGATTCGGGTTACTTCTACCGCTCAAGGACGACGGCGTAATGGGCTCAATCGCATCGTGCAACTCCATAAAGTCTCCCATGGCAACCCCTGCATTGCGAGGTAACCCCGGAAGCAGCTCGCATATGACATTGAGAGCTTCCACAATCTGCTCGCGAGGTCGATGAATAAGCGCCTGCATGACGATTACACTGTCCAGCTTGGATGCCACATCTTCGGTCCCTGTTGGGGGAGAGACGCCCGTCAATATCTGATAGAGCGTCTCCACCACGTTTAGTTTGAACAGCTCAGAAGAGAGTCTGGGGCTGGCCCTGGCAGTGAAGGCTAGCACACGGAGGAACTGAGTATGGATATTGGGCCCAATGAGATTGGTCGTCCCCGGGACGAGAAGGCGTAATATTGCGCGCAAAAGGTCAACGCTAATCAGCTCTTCGAGCTTCGATGGGTGATACTTGAAGCTTTCGGCGATGCCAGAAACACACAAGGAAGCCTGCTCCACAACTCGTTGGTCGTTACTGTTGAGGACATTCAGGAGGGTTGGCATAACATCTTTAACCACGGGAAACGAGTCGTCGGGGATGTTTCGACAACAATTGGCGGCAGTGGTCACAGCCGTTCGCTGCGTGCTGGTTGCAAAGAAGTCAAGGTAGGATAGGCACGCCGTAAGGCCCCCTTCGCGGACGATACTAGAAGGATACTCGGTTGAGATCTTCTCAAGCGTACTCAGAGCTTGCTCGGCGAGGTCTATGAATGAGATTTCGAGCAGCTTTTGGCAGAGAACTGGAACAGCATTTCCATACACAACATTGGCGATGCTTGCGGGTAGAGCTTCCATGAGGTTCGCAAGGCAGCGACAGGCCAAGAGCATGGTCTCTGGGCTCTCTTCCCTAGACATGAGCTGAACGAGCTCCTTGACGAAGGCGTCGGGAGAAAAGTGGCCCGAGAGATTATCTTCATTGGACACTAGGAAAATCTCGGACAGCTCTTGCAGAGCAATCACCTGGACAGACGAATCATCACTACGTAGACTTGCAAGAAGCTCCCGAAGTCGACTGGACAAGCCGGTCATCATGCCGGTCAAAGCCCGCAAAGTGCTAGAAAGGCCGGAGTCATGGTCTCCTGGGCCGCCATAAGCGCCAAAGGGGTCGTCGTCGTTCTCGTCGTCATCTTCATCGTCGTCTTCGTCGTCTTCGTCCTCGTTTTCGTTTTCGTTGTCGTTTTCATGTTCGTCCTCGTCCTCCTCTTCGTCCTCGTCGTCTTCATCGTCGTCGTTGTATGAAGCGTGTTCGATGGAGGTTGTGCCGCCGTCTCTGCTCAAGTCATCGTCCTCTCCATGGCCATCGCCTTTGACAGTCTTGTGGGGTTGTGCATCTTGCCTCTGAGGCGACGAAGAAGAAAGCCGATCCTTGTCATCGCCCATGCCGGTCATAATGGCATCCTGGTCAGAAGCATTTCCTGTAAATAGTTGTGACTCCCGACTTGGCGGCATCGAAGTTACGGTGGCTTCGGGGAACGAGTTAGCAAAGAAGCCAGACGCTGTGAGATGTAGAGGCAGACCTTGGGACTGGGAAGAAGTTGGCTTGCTTCGAGCTGATCTTCGGCTACCAGTATGAGAAGTGGGAGACGTCTCCATGGCGGCGGCTACAGCAGGCACCCTGCTCTCGTTGATTAGCGCCATGTCCAAGGAAAACGAGCTTCTGACTAACTCGGCGCCGTCCATATCCGCTGCGGCCCTCCCCTTCCGCGGCAAGGATGAGTGGGATGAATGATGTACAGTTTCTGGTGGTGGCGGGACAGCAGCTTCAGGAATCTTTTGTCTCTTGGACCGTCGAACCGAAGAGCTAGGTTGGGGTCCGGTCGCAAGACTCTTCTCCGCGCTCGAAACTTTTCGCTTCCGGGACGACGACGACGACGACGACGATGGTGGGGGAGCAGTTGCAGACGAGGACTCTGGCAAGGGTACGGCAGAGGCCGAGGAGGCAGCAGGAGCTCGAGCCGCCTGGCTCGCTGCTTGGCGGGCGGAAGATCTGGTTATTCTGGGAGACATGAGAAACTTGCCGACAAGACTGCTTGCTTGCTCGTGCCCGAGGTGCAGACAAGGAACGGGGTTGGTTTGGGTTGGGGGCGGGGAGATGCGGGGAGGAAAGAGTCGAGTTGAGAACGAGAGGCTGAGGCTGAGGATGCTGCCCCAACGGCGATGTCGCAGCCAAGAGATGACGTTGCGCCAGGGTAGAGATGGAAGCGGTGCCTGTCGAGAGTGTGAAGGGGCGCCGACGCCAGACTCAAATCCAAGGGCTGTCTTTTGTCTTTGGCTTGTGCCTGGGCCAGAGTGAATAGATGAGGCACTGGCTGGTCTCTGCTAAGGTGAGGTGATGCGAGGCGAGGCGACGGGAAATGGAGGCTCCGGCATGCAGAGCAAGCACCTCATCCACCACGGCACTACCGATGGCAGTACTTTGGCGTGCAGAGGCGAGAGTTGGGAGTTTTGAAAGGGCCAGAGCTTTGCAGTGGACGATGGACGATGGATATCAAAAACAGGGCGAATCAAATCAAATCAGTGCTGGAAGGGCGATACGATGAATGCGCACAGGACAGCAGTCAAAGGGAGGGCCAGCCAGCAGTGCAGCCTCTCAACTGTACATGAGCTGTAGCCACAGCAAGCTTCATTCATACCTTGTGACAGTGGCCGCTACAGGCCTCGCGGCAGCAGATACAGCGGTCGAAGCAGCGGTGGGATTGGGCGCGGGCGCGGGCGTGGGCGTGGGCGTAGGTGAGGGCGTGGACGAGGCCGCGGGAAGTCGCACTTCGTGGTCGGTTGCCGTTGTTTGTTCTGCCATGCCCAAACTACGCCATCAGGAGGGCAAGCACGAGCTTAGTAGGCAGGGCAGGAAGCACGAGATAAGAAGAAGACCGGGGGGGGAGAGAGGAGGATAAGGTGTGGCGATAAGAGAGACCACGGGACAAGAGTAGAGTAGAGCAGAGGATAGAGGTATAGAGTAAGAGTAAGACGGAGTAGGTAGACAGGACAGCAACGGCGGTTAGGTAAGTTGGGTGTCGAGATGGAGATGGAGATGGAGATGGAGATGCAGACGCAGACGCAGATGGAAACGGAGATGGGAATCGGAACGGAGCCCAGCAGGGCCAGAGCAGACGCGCGCCGCTTGTTGGCGATGCACCGAGTGGTTGCTCCTCATCTGAGACGCAGCGTCGAGAGTGGCAGCAGCCACGGGGACAGGGCCGGGACAGGATCAATCAGCAAGTCGAGAGAGAGGTCAACGACTGGTGCTCGTTACTGGCCGCCCACTCAGCTCAGAGCATTGCAAGGTCCGAGAGTGATGTGACGAAGCGTTGCAGTAGCACCGAGTGTGGTTTGCTACCCGCTGCGGATGGCGGGGGCCCATTAGTCATTATGAGAGATATTCAGCTGTTAGCGATGCAAAGACTCGGGTTGTCACTGATGGGCGGAAAGGCTGTGGCTGGCTACACGCGGTACTACGTCGCTACTAAAAAGCTTGGACTGCAGTGATGGTTTGCAACGACATGGTAGTTGATTCTCTACACCAATACTATAGCCCAACTATGTAGGTACTATATTACCGAGTAGTATATCAAAGAAAGCATCATAAAAGACACTGTAACAGACCATGTAAACACCTGTCAGCTTTAAAACCACGACGTGTATGTGCACCTTGGTAGATAAGGTACGATACAAGGCCAACAACAACGGTCCATGACAGCTCGCCAAACCCACCCACTTCAAGCCACCACTTTACCTTAATTCGATAACCTCCCTCTCCCCCCATGCAAAAGCATCCCGATAGGCAAAAACAGTACCTTGCCTTGTCCATCAAATGCAAATACAGACAGCTGCATGCCCTCATTACATTAGCACCATGCGCATCCCTTGGCGGCTTAGTCAGGATGCACACTCACATGGCCTCACAATCCATCTATCGGTGTGAATATCCAGCGCTGTGCAGCTTTACCCTGGAGGGGGGCAGCGGGGAGGACGGTGGGGCTCCATAGCTCAGGTGCCCCTTTTACTCCCCCAAGCTCGCCTGTATATCTATCGATAGAATACTCCTTTGCCGGATCAAATCCTTTCTTCTCGCGACCCGGGAGACGCTGAATATTCCATTCATTCATCGCCATAGTTCGCCAAGAGGTTCCGGGGCGGGCTCGTTTCATTCCATCTACGCGACCACGATTACGCACGTTATGACCATACAAGTATACGGATAGACAGACAGACGTTCAACGAAAGCATCAACTTCAAAGGCGCTTGCTCCCAAGGTAGGTCTGTGTGCCGCGCGCCGTGTACGAGTATCGACGGAAACGTGTCAACTAACGCCTTGTCCAGCGCTACTTAATTCATACTTGTACTACAATGCCTGAGAGCGAGGTTTCCGCTCCCCCCAAGGCTGAGGCGACCGAGTCGCATGCTGCCGAGAAAAGCAGCCCTACACAGGCCTCGGCTGGAAGAGCCACCCCCCGCTATGCCAGCGCAACCGCTACTTCGACGGTAGCCAGGACGTCGGTCGGCCCTGGTGCGCGATCTCCCGCCTTGAACAAGACGCACACTCGTTCATCCCCCTCGGTACATCGATCTACTGCTTCCACGTCCGGGCTGGGTCATCGAAGCGGTGCCAGCGTCGGTGCGGGCGACGATGCCGTCAAATCTGCATCGCGAAGAGAGAGCACCGTCGTTTCAGCAGAGAAAAAGGCCGGTGCGACATCCACTACCGCCACCGCCCGTCGATCCACCGTTGGTGTCGGTGCGGCAAGTCCCAAGCCCACTGTTGGCCAACGGACCAAGCCGAGCGGGAGCTCCGAGTCGTTGTCTTCGACCAGGACACCAGTCTCTCGAAGCGCTGTTTCATCGAGCGCCGCAGCCGATGCACGGAAGAGACCAGCTGCACCGGGCATAGTCACTGGGGCCTCACGACCGTCCACACGAACCTCGGTTCGCGACGCTCACATTGACAGCCCTAAACTTGACGAGTTAAATTCCAAGCTAGCCGACAAGGACAAGGAAATTGAGTCTCTCAAAACAGAACTGACCACGTTCGAAAGCACCGTGGCCGAACTTCGCCAGCAACTCGAGACCAGTGGCCAGCAAGCAGAGGATGGCGGTTCTAACGAGGAGCAAAAGGACGCGCCAGACGCGCCCAAGACTGATTACGATGCCATCATACGTGATCTGGAAGCTCAGCTGCAGGAGAAAGCTGACAAGCTTCGTGCTGTGGATGCAGAGCTCTCCGAGGCTGCTCACGCTAAAGAGCAGGGAGGAGAAACCCTCGAGGAGCTGCAGAAGGAGCTTGAGAGTCTAAAGCTCGAAAACCAAGAGAGGATCAAGGCAACAGAAAGCCAGGGAGGAGAAGCTCTCGAGGCACTGCAAAAGGAGCTCGAGGCCTTGAAGCTTGAAAACCAAGAGAAGATCAAGGAGGCGGAGAACCAGGCCGCAGAAGCCCGTGATGCTCTGCAGAAGGAGCTTGACAGCCTGAAGCTCGAAAACCAAGAGAAAATCAAGGCAACGGAAAGCCAAGGAGGAGAAGCCCTCGATACTCTGCAGAAGGAGCTGGAAAGTCTAAAGCACGACAGCGATGAGAAGCTCAAGGCTGCGGAGGCCCAGGCGGCAGAGGCACGCGATGCGTTGCAGAAGGAGCTGGAAAATCTAAAGCACGAAAGCGAAGAGAAGCTCAAGGTTGCCGAGGCCCAAGCTGCCGAGGCTCGCGATACGCTGCAGAAGGAGCTTGAGAGTGTGAAGCTTGAAGGCGAGGAGAAGCTCAAGGCAAAGGAGAGCGAATATGAGCAAGCCATACGTGACTATGCCGCCCAGGTCGAGAAGCTGCAGGCTTCTGTCTCCGACAAGGCAGAGTCAGACACTGCGGTGGCAGATTTGCAATCCAAGTTTGACGCGACTGTTCAAAACCTGCAGCAGCAGGTTGACGAATTAACCGCTTCGAAGACCGAACTGGAATCAACCATTGAGTCAGTCAAGACTGAGCGCGATGAGCTCAGCGGCAAGATTGCCCATCTCGAAAGCGAAATCCTGGAGTTCAAGACCAGGCTCGCAACATCGGAGACGGCAATCAAGGAGGCTGAGTCCAACGCAGACAGCGACAAGCTGAAGATTCAAAGCGAGTTGGCCGCTCGGGGCGCAGAGCTTGAAGCCACCCGCAAGAGCGAAGCTGAGCTGCAAAGCACAGTTGGGGAGCTGAAAGCTACGCTAACCAGCAAGGACGAGGAGGTCGCTAGCTTGAAGGCCATGCACGACGAGCGCCTGAAGCAGATTTCTCAAGACTACGAAAACGAAATTGAAAGTCTTCGTGGCGATGCCTTCTTCAAGCGAAGATTCGAGGAGTTGGAAAAGCAGCACAACGAGCTACAGACATCCGCGGCCCAAGATTCAGAGCAGCACGCAAAGGCCCTAGCAGAGGCGGAAGAGCGCCGCTTGTCAGCCGTCAATATCCTCGAGGCAAAGCAAGCGGAATACGAGGCGGAGCTTGACAAGATACGAAACCTTCACGCCGAAGAGTTGACATCTGCCAAAACTAGTGCCGCAGAAGCCTTGGATGCTCATGTCAAGGAACTTGATGCCATCAAGGCTCGATGCGACGAGCAGCTTCGTCTTGCGTTAGCAGACGGAGAGGCTTCATCTGCCGAATTCTCCAAGTCTCTTCAAACTTCTCATGAGAAGCTGGTGGATGAGCTCAAGAGACAACATGAAGAGGAGAAGCAAGAACTGGTTGCTGCCCATCAATCCAACCTGACAGCAGCCACCAGTCAGCACGAGTCAGCTTTGGCCACGCTGCAAACAGAGCTTGAGCAGGCCACCGCGCTGCTGGAGAAGACGAAAGCCATCAACATCCAGGAACTGGAGGAGGCCAAGCGTGAACTGCACGGCACACATGCCGCTGAGATTGAGAAACTCGCCGCTGCGCACACCGACGCAAGTTTCTCGCTCAAGGAAGAAGGGCTTCAGATGAAGCAACAGCTAAACGAGCTGCAAGCTGTGTACCGGCAAATGGAGACTGCTCTGGATGATTCCAAGGCCAAGAACGCCAGCCTGGAACAGCAATTGTCAGCCCAGGCCGCCACCGCCGGAACCCTCCAGGAGTCTCTGCAAAAGATGCAGGAGCAGCTCGTTGCCGCCCAAGCCGAGGCCGACGAGCTCAGCCAGCAGCTTGCCCAGGAAAAGATGGAGCGCATGGTTGCCCTGGCCGAGTTGGATGCCGTCAAGAGGCCTCAGGACTCGACGGCTCTCAACAACCTCAAGGCTGAGCTCGCTGCCGTCAGGGCAGAGCTGCAAGCCACTCAGGCCGAGCTGAAGAAGAAGGAAGATGTCGCTCGGAATGATTACAACGACTTGAACGATAGCATGACTACGTTGCTGGAGGAGGCCAACAAGAAGTCGACCGAGTCACAGCTGCAAGTCGAGCAGTTTATGAAGAAGCTCGAGGACGCAGATGACAAGTACGATCAACTGCTGGCCCAGTTCAAGATCAAGAATGCAGAGCTAGCCGAGGCCGAGGTAAGTTTTACACACCAAACTTCACTCAACCCAACTCAATGTACTCTCACCAACTAACACCATCACGAACAAGGCTCAAGCCGCTCTGTACAAGTCCAACAGCGGCAGGACCGGCAACGCCGGCTTAGATGACTCAGCCGAAGGCGACGAAGATCACTCTTCAACAGCATTAGCTTTGGTGCGAGAGTCCCTTGAAAATCGCAGCCTTTCCCGTAATCCCGTCTTTTTTTTCTTTTCAACACTCGGTTGATGGTGCCTTGATGTAGCTAACCGTTTGAAGTAGCTCAGCAAAGTTAGATTGACGGCGAAGCAAGTCGATACTCTCGATCGGGAGATGAGAGACCGCAACTTACAGTAAGCAGTTCAACTTGGGCTTCTATTGCAACCAACCTGTGGGGAACACACGCTGACTATTTGTTTCTTCTTTGAACAATCCAGACTTCTTAATTCAATCACGGACGTGAAGATGTCTTCTTAAAATCGGCGGGAAATTTACTATACTCTTGTACATCTTAATTAATATTTAGTGGTAATTAACATTGCCTTGTATTGAGCAGTTGAATCAAGACTTGTAAAACAATTTTACATTTTATCATGAGCCGCCATGAGAGATCCTGCATCGTCACATGTTAGCAATTATACATATATATAAACAATAATAGACTGTAGCCTATAACATATCATTCTTGACTTACCAATAAACGTAGTTACCAGGCGACTGCGAACTTGGCAGATATCCTCCGGGACAAGCCATATGGTGGCACCAAGCTTACGAGCGATGCTGATACTCAACTTGGCGTTCATGTATGCGTCTTCTTCTGTCTGGCCGGGAGTCACGAGGTCATAGTCGACGTAGCTGCTCTTCATGCCGTTCAATACGTCCAAAAGGAAGATGCCAGAGCCAATGGCCGGATCCTTGAAAGACCGGATAGATGAGTTGCGACCGCCCTTCTTGGACATGTCGTTGGCCCATCTAACCATTTCAGCGTCGGTAATCTCTCTCTTGCCGAGCTTCTGTGCCAACGAGGACAAAGTCACCGTAATGTTCTTTCGCATGAGTTGCCAGACGAGTCCCAGCGTCAATGTTCTTTGACCGTCAGTGATGTCTGCTCCTTGGATGCCCACAAGAGAGAATCCATTCTGTTTGCCAAGCTCAATGGCGTAATTGGTGTTCTCGACGGCCTTGAATCTAAGCATTTCGCCTCCGTGGGCGGGAGCCTTGTTAACGTGGCGCCAGTTCACAGAGCCCTTGATGACTTTGTCGTATGCCTGCAAAAGCACCGATCCGTCTCTCAAGTCATCAAAGAAGGAGACTACAGCAGGCTGCACGTCCAAACTGTTGAGCCATAGGGTAAAGACTCTTGCCTCGCGCTCTCCCTCTGCGTCAAAGTCTTCAACTTCCAGCTTCTCCTCTTCCGTGATGGGGTCGAGCGCGGGATGAGTGTTGAAGAGATTGGCCACGAACGCCAAGTTAAGCTTCGGGTTACCCGCAACCAAGGATGACGGAGTCAGGAACTTGCGGCATCCAAGCTTATCAGCTTCTTGCAAAGTTTCCTCGGCTCTCTGCGCGAGATCTCTGGTTTGCAAAGCGGCTCGAGTGCAGCCGTACTCGGATCCAATCTGCGCGAGAAGAACGGTATAATTTTCACTGTCCTTGACATCGCTAGAGAAATTTGTAACTCTGAGGGTAGGAGGACAAGTCAGTAAATTGATCGCATGGGAAAAACAAGAAGAGAAAACACGAACCTTCGGGGCCAGTTTGCGGCCTTCAAGTGGTAGTTGAACCAGCGAAGCAGGATCTGCTCCGGGGGCAGTCTCAGGAACTGTTCTAGAGTTTCATCCTCCTCCAGTAGCCGGTAGAGCTCAGGGTGCAGCTTAATGTCAATCTTACCCAAGAGACCTCGTCGGATGATTTGCCAAATGAGGCCCAGGATAAGATGCTCGCGAACTTCGATGATGTCACCCGCTCCAATGTTGACAACGGAGCAGCCGATACCCTTGCAAGACTCAATGACGATGTTGTTGTTCTCGCTCATCTGGAAGGCATTGAGAGTTTTGGTCTTTCGTCCAGGAATGTTCATGACTCGTTCATCGATAGTATCAGGAACGCTATCGTTGATGAGCTTCGCAAGCACCAATCCGTCTTTACATTCATCAAACATTTCGAATGTGTCGGTAGGGAACGGAAGTCGGCTCCCAATGTCCGGATCACCGGCCAACACCGCATTGATATGGCGTGTAAACTCGGTCCGTTCATCTTCGTTGATTGTGTGTGTGGTGTTTGCGTTTGATCCCTGCACTTGGATCTTACCACTCACGCTGCCCTTGGACGCATGGCCGTGGGCAGGTCCAGATCCAGGCTGAGCCGGGGCAGGGCCGGTAGACATGCGTTTCTGGGCGACCGACCCAGCGCGCAGCTTCGCAATAAGCTACCAAACGGTTAGAGAGGGTGCAAAAAGTGAGCTGTGATGTGACATAGTTAACTGACGCCGACATAGTCCTCCAGCTCCACTCGTCGCGAGGAGTCCAGATCTACTTCTTTCAGGGCTTGTCGGACAACATCGTATGGCTGGTTTTCGCTCTGCTGGGTTGCTTTGATGGCAGTTGCTTCGTCGAGGTAGCCTCGGTCCTCGACGTCCAGCCTCTGGAAGGCATCGGAGAGCTGGAAGATCTCGTTCTGCGGAAACTGAGGAAACTTCCTGCGCAGCTGTTAGATCCCACCAAGACAGTGACACGCCGTACCAAACGGAAGCCTTGCATACCTCTGTAGCTTGAGGACGTTCATACTGGGCGATGCTGGCGATATTCCGCTCGGGAAGATGGACGTTTGTGTTTGGAATTGAAGGAACCGCGCGTCGCTGGGAGGCAATACAATAAGTAGGTACTAAGCTATGATGTTAGCTAAGGAGGGGGTTACGACAGCGACAGTCGTCAAACCCCACACAGCCACAGTCTCCCCCCCACGCTAAACTGTTAGCTGCCTATTCAGCTGGAGCTAAATAGCTCAGGGCCATAATCCAGAGTACAAAGCAGGCACCTGTATTTTACTGCTGCTGCCTACGATAGGTACATACAGGCAGCTGCTGTAGGGGATACCCAGGTAGGGACAGACTCCATTTATACGGCTAAGAAACAATTAGGCATGGATGGATGCTTATTTTTTATTTTATTTTCAGGTACGTATAATGATAAATGATCAAGTTGATGGCATTGTGATTGTGTGATTATGTGATGGTGATTGTGCAGGTGCAGGTGTAGGTGTAGGTACCGGTGCACAGATGTCACGATCCCTTCAAGGCTCCCATTTATACAGGTACCTAAGGTACTAAGCTACAGAGGAAGGTACCTAGTAGTTACTAATGTTAAGAAACAACAATAAAACTATTTTATTACTAGGTAGCTATTAGTTACAACTCCAAAATATCGCAGCCCGTTTCAGGCGCGTATTCGAACACCATTATAACTAGCATAAGTTTCTGCCTGGCAATGCCAAGCATCCCATATCCCACAATGAAGCCGTATCACATTCTTGAAAGGGGGAAACACCTGGAAACCCGAGCATTGTACAAAACGATCGATGGGAGAAGAAGACACGGGTAGAAAGGAGAGTAACAAGGCCGAGACCCCAGATACTCAGTCCACTGCCGTAATACTCTTCGACATTTGCGGCCTCTACTACTCAGCAACATCAAGATCGTCATGGGCGGGAAGAGGGCTCTCAGCTAAGCAGAAACATCAGTAAGCAGGTTTCAAGGATCTGGAGCAAGATGGTCCACCACGTTACCTTTCCTTTCATCACCGTTGGTTCCATTCTCCTTTCGGTCACGATCATCGCGCTCATCTTTGGCATCGCGGTCACGGTCCCTATACGGCCAATCATGTCAAAATTTGGATTCATCGTTGATGAGATTCACAACCATACCGGTGTTCAGGGCTTCGAGACCGGTCTCGGTCCCTTCGGCTATCACGATCATAATCTCTGTCGCGATCGCGGCGCTCGTCTTTCCGTGGGGAATAGTCGCGGGTGCTGCGTCGAGGGGATGGTGACCGTCCGCGGCGAGGAGATCGGGGTCCACGACGATCACGATCACGCCCAGATTCGAAGCGCCAAGAGGCTGATGGAGGCGTTCTGGCCCACTAGCAGCGCGTTAATATCGTCCAATGAGTCGATTATAGATCTGCGAATACATACCTCGATCTTCAATAGGTCATCTCGGCCAATGCGTTTGTTGTGCATTTCGTGATACGCATCATCGGCATCACGTCGGTCTTCGTATTCGACGAATGCGAACCTGAGAGCGGTCAGCATGTCTGAATCTGGCCACAACAAGGGCCAAAGAAACCACCCACAGTCGACTGGAAGTGGATCGCGGTGCAGGAATATCGCAGCGGACCAAGCGCCCATATCTGTCCAAACATGATCATTAGCGATGCCATCACAAGGCAGAAGGTGGAAGGCGCAGTCGCCGGGGTAGCCGTTTTCTCGGGCAATTTTCGTTGACTGTTTTTTGCCCTGAGAAAGGAGGTGCAATCTAACTATCCATTCAAACAGAGAACAACCTCGAGGCGATGGATGAAACGCATGTGGCCGACGCGGCAGGAAAAGGGAGAGGTAGGCTCAGGCGTCAGCGGGGGGGAGAGGGTTGCGAGGGCATCGACATCGACGTGGGGATCAAATCTGTCCATCGAAAGGAATCCCCCGTTGCGGTATGAGACGAGGCGCGAGCGAGGACGAGGACGAGGACGAGGGCGAAAGCGAGGGCGAAAGCGTGAGCGTGAGCGTGGCGTGGTTGACATACCGTTCGAATTCGTAGGCAAGGTCGCGGGCGCGGGTGCCGTGGCTGAAGCCTGTCACATATAAGGTAGTGCCGCCGCGAGACATGTTTTTTTTTTTTTGGTTTGCAAAGAATAACAGCAATCAATCTGGAGGCGTAATGGATCAAGCAGATGATAAAGAGGTGAATGATCCTGGCGTGTGCTCAGTTGACGTTTGCAGGTGCTGAGATTAGTTTGAGGTTACTAAGGTAGGGAAAAAATACTAGAACGGAGATTTAAACCAAGCCAAGCCCAAACAGGTAGGATATTTTAGTAATTAGCACTTCTCCACACTTGTACAAAATAATGACGACGACGGTGAAATCCCTAGACAAAACACCAAACCCCTTGTGTCCAAATGTAAAACACTACCTACCTATGTATTCACAAATCATGAAATTTCTGTCACAGGAACATGTAAGTAAACATAATATTTAATAATCAATGTATATACTGTATATTTGAAACTGCAGCTTGTATATCCTGTGCATGAAATATACGATCAATTGTTCATTTAGTTAGTCATTATCCTATTCCCTTCATCTTCATCCACTCTTATTTACCTTCACTGTTACAATTAGTTGTATATCGTCATCGACCAGTAAGAACAAACTTTCCGGTCTCAACCCTAAACTTCCATCCGTCACGAGTGAGTGCCGCTGCCACGGCTTGTCGGAGCGGTGAAACCCCCCCAGCACTGTGATGGCCCAAGCCAGTTATAATGGTCAGGTTCCGCTCCGACGACTGGCCTTCTCGTGATTCATATCGTAATTCACGTCGCGTTTGCCACCAATCTACAGCCCGTTGGCGAGCAATTCGCACTCCGTCAAGAACAGACACGCCGTGTAAGTCAATCGTCGTGTTAGTGCTTTGTTGATCGACATGTATGTCAGCTGCAGCTGATGTAGCTTCCTGGGCACGTCTTCCAAGTTCGCGAGCTCGTTGTGCATAATAACCTGCCGCCTGTCGATATACCGGATTTGATGCTCCGCGCCGGTAAAGAGTTCCGGCGGAGGCCATGGCGTCTTGTTTCTGTTTATGTAGAGCATTTGATGCTTGAAGCGTCCGGGTGAGATCAGCACCGGCTCTTGTCACTGGGGGAGATCTTTGGCGAGCTCCCTTTCTTTCCGCCAGAGCATCAACAGCTGCCCCCGCCAGCCCTTCTATGTCTTCGTGTGGCAGAGGCGTCAACCTGTAACTCAACTCAAGTTTCTGGTTCATCGATCGCTTGCTGAAATATGTGTTTAACAACGACGCAAGCTCGGCAGAGGAAGTGGACATTGATCCCGTTATCTGAACAATCACTTCCAAATAAATTTCTGGGACGCCGCGATATTTTTGTTTGAGGTCGCCGGCAGCCTTCTTCTCCGTACTTGTCAATGGCTCGCCGTTCTCTTGCAAGAGGTGTTGATCCAAGATTCCTATTACAGTGCCAATTTTGGAGTTTCCGCTTTCAGCATACATTATGGAAACTTCTTCTGTAGACATGTGCAATCGCTTTGCTATGTAGGTAATAGCTGCCGGGGCTGCGGTGCGTTAGTATCATAACAGTCATGCGTTTTGCAATGATCAACTTACTGTTCAATCTGCTTGAATTGCTCACGCTGCCATCATATCCTGTTTCACCAGCTTTGCCAGCAGATTTGGCCCCAGATTCGTTAGCACCGAGCGACCACTCATTCGATGAGGGAGCTTGATCACTTGTGGATTGGATGTATTGTAGATTGAGTAGACTATCCAACGCAGCGGCAACGACACCATCTGCGTTATTCAGGACATGCCTAATGTCAACACCATCTATTCGAGGGAATAGGCTCTGGAGCTGCATAATGTCTCTCTCCAAAACCTCAGATTTGGACAACCGTGTATCCGACGACAGAGTATCAATACTTTCATCATCCGATGTCACGTTTCCCTGGTTGAACCTGGAGACAGGGGCAGCGTCATCAATCGGATTCTGATCTTGGTGTTCCGTAAATCGATATGCACCGCTCGGGTCGAAGCTGCTGGCTTCTTCGAAGACCACATTTTGTGCGAGACTACGCAAAGTGGAACAGGCTTCATCATAGCCGGTACTGGTGCTTAGATCATAGTCACTCGCAATAGCAACAATTAGAGAATCATCCAGCAGGGAGTGGAATGAATCCTAGCGATAAGATATCGTCAGCACCCAAGGACTGTTTGAATTGTGTTGCCATGGTGGAGTGCAGAGTGTAGGTAGCTATAGGAAAGAGTCCAAGGCAAAGGTTGGAAACAACTGCACCGTGTAGAACGAGGAGAGACATACTCGTAATTGTTGAAGCTGCGAAGGGAGAGCAATATTACTCATTTGATAAGATACTGGTTAATTGGGAGCATATTGGAGTAGTAATAAATGTTGCGAGCTAGGCCAAACACTGGGTAAGATGCATTGCTGTAACCCGCCCATTAAGTACCTATCTGGCTTAGTTCAAAGTTTATTGCAAAATTACATAATACCATTACTTGCTCACTCCAATTACTATCATCTGTGTCTACCTACTCGTATAGCAGTAGAGTAAAAAGCGTAGGTATTTGATATCCTTATCACAAACATCACAGGCAAACGATTTGGCTTTCCACAATTGTAAATTTTTTACTGCTTTTTTGACTTTTGCACTACAAACCTAATTATCCCTTTTTATGTCATATTATCATGTGCTATTCATACCCAACTTTAAATAGATTTTTGCCTTTTATAACTTTATGCCTGGTATGTTGAGGCGGAAACGTTGCCACCACGGCCAGTCCAGTTGACGTGGATGTCCTTGCCCTGGGGGTACTTGTCGCTAGCAAACTCAGGCTTGATGTGGAAAGTGTGAGCGCCAAAGTAGTCACGCTGGGCTTGCAGTAGGTTGGCGGGGAGGTCCTTGGTGCGGTAGCCATCGAACCATGACAGGGCGGTGCCGAAGGCAGGGGTGGGGATGCCGAGCTCAGCAGCCTGGGCAACGACGGCTCTCCAGCCGGGCTGAGCCTTGTGGATGGCCTCGTTGAAGAACTTGTCGAAGAGCAGGTTCTTCAGGTCGGGCTCATTGCGGTAAGCAGAGGTGATGTCCTTGAGGAAGACGGATCGGATAATGCAGCCACCACGCCACATGAGAGCGATGGAGGGCTTGTTAAGCTTCCAGTTGAACTCGCGGGCGGCCTGTTACAAATTGTGCGTTAGCTCAAATCTGGAAGCTTGGGTACATCTGCTTCTTCTTACCTCCTGCATGAGCATGAAGCCCTGGGCATATGAGATGATCTTGGAGGCATACAGAGCCTGCTCGAGGTCCTCAAGGAACTGCTCCTTGTTACCCTCGAACTTGCCGCTGCCACGGGAAACATAACGGAGCTTGGTGGAAGCCTCGGTACGCTCGTCCTTGATACCAGACAGGCATCGGGCCAGGACGGCCTCGGCAATCAGGGTAACGGGCATACCGAGGTCGAGGGCGTTGATGGCAGTCCACTTTCCGGTTCCCTTCTGGCCAGCCTTGTCCAGGATCTTGTCAACCAGAGCGGTGTTGTCATCGTCATTGAAGTAGAGGATGTCACGGGTGATCTCGATCAGGAAAGAGTCGAGAACGCCCTTGTTCCACTTGCCAAAGACGTCACCAATCTCCTTGCTGGAGAGGCCAAGACCACGCTTCATGATGTCGTACGCCTGCGAAACGAGCGTTGGTTAGCTATACGCGCGGGATGTTGAAATGGGACTAAGTTATGGACGAGCTTACCTCGCAGATGAGCTGCATGTCACCGTACTCGATACCGTTGTGAACCATCTTGACGTAGTGACCAGCACCTTCGTCGCCGACCCACTCACAGCAGGCCTCGCCGTCGCTCTTGGCGGCAATGGCCTGGAAGATGTCCTTGATGTGAGGCCAGGCCTCCTCGTTACCACCGGGCATCAGAGAGGGGCCGAATCGGGCACCCTCTTCACCTCCGGAAACACCGGAGCCGACGAATCGGATGTTCTTGGCGCTGAGCTCCTTGGTGCGGCGGTTGGAGTCGGGGAAGTGAGAGTTGCCACCATCGATGATGATGTCGCCGGCGTCGAGGTAGGGCAGGAGTCTCTCAATCCACTCATCGACGGCCTTACCAGCCTGGACGAGGAGCATGATGCGGCGGGGGGACTTGAGGCTGTCGATGAACTCCTTGTCGCTGTGAGCGCCAACAACGGACTTGCCCTTGGCCTCGTTGGCCAAGAAGGCGTCGACCTTGGAGACGGTTCGGTTGTAAGCGGTGATTGTGAAGCCATTGTCAGCCATGTTGAGAATCAAGTTCTGTCCCCTGGCGAGCCGGTAATGTCAGCAAACACGGCGGCCAATTATGACCCGGAGGAGAGGTTGCAACTTACATGACAGCAAGGCCGATGAGGCCAAGATCCGCGCTTGGAACAGTGTCAGCATTTCCCGAAGCTTGACCGGCAGTGGAGGAGGAATCAGATTGCGAAGCGCCGCCAAGCTTGATGTTTGCGAGGCGAGCGCTACCTCAGGACCATGAGCAGAGTGCAGAGAAAGTAGGAAAGGGGGCAATGAATGGCGAAGGAGAAGGAGAAGCTCGGAAGTCGGGAGACGCGGGGAGACACAAAAGCAAGCATAAAGCATCAGCGAGCATCAGCGAGCATCAAGCAGCTGCCGGCAAGCTACCAGCAGCAACTATCAAACAATGAGACTCCCGCAGCCCATCACCCCGCCACAGCAAAGCCCAGAGCTCGGCACCAGATACAAGAGACCGCAATCTCGCCTCAATTGCGTGCGGGAATTGAGGTCATCCAAAGGTGACGAGCTGGGCTTTTTCAGGGCGGGGTGGTGGGGTAACGAATGACAAAGGATGAGGAGGGGTTGAGGCAGGAGGAGTAAGTAGCAGGAGAGGGAAAAGAAGCAGAGGCCGGGGCGGAGACTTACACAGGGCCAGACATTGCGAGGGTTGTTGTAGCAGCAAAGGGGTATTTCTTTGGAGATTCGAAAAGCAACGGATGTTGATTCACAACAGATGGATGGTATTGCGAGGATGGAGAGAATGGAGAGAATGGAGGAGAGAACGGGAGGGACAGATAGGGAGGGACGGAGGTAAGTAAATATAGTGGGATGGTGGGAAGCATCCATTCTTAGTGGGAAAACACGGGGCCCGGAACGGGGATGCGCGCCCAGGCTTGGAGGCGCCCAGCAACGCCCAGGAAGCAGGAGGTTTGCGTTTGGGTTTTGGCTTGAGAACTCGGCGTGTGATTGTGATTGGCCCAGGGCGACGCATCGTCATCGCTGCTCTTTTACCTCATACAAACGTCTAACCAGTCTATAACGCTAGCCACGTTTTATCACCATGCTCCGTGGCTGCGGGCTACGAGTACAACATGGGGAAAATGCTATTCCATCCCATGCCATTTTCTTACTTAGTACTGCACGGCACTTTTCGTCTCGTCTTTGTCTGGCGTCGTCTTGCGTCGTCTGGTGATGATGTCGTCCCGCAGGCAAATCCCACCGAGACGGTACGAGTACTCTCCTCTGTGAACTTGGCCCCCGGGCGCCGCTTTGTGGGAAATTCCGCATTTCCGTACGCCTTGGTGCAAAGGCCGTGTCTGTCTCTTCCACCGTCTTCTACAGTAGCCCCGACACAAGGCACCTATTGCTGGATCGGGACAATCCATCCATATGAGCGCAATATCGTATTGGCCTTGCCCGCCCCACCTCACGGCAGCTATCATATGTAGGTTGCCTCTCCGGCTGCCTCGGGCGGGGCGTCTTTGAGCCCGGAGCCTTTCAACACAAAGCAATCGTCCATAAGGTAATCAATGACTGTACAAACCTACCGCGCTTGGTAAACGGTGCTGCCCAAGTACATGAGCAATGGCTACCTTACATTAGCTCGCCTTGGGTAGCTTATTAACCCTTCAAATGCTGTGCCCACCTAAGGTACTGTATGCTTACAGTGCGCAAGCCCTCAGCCTTCCTCTCCCCTTCCGGCATCTCCCACTTACTCAGAAGCAACGATAATCCCCAGTTTAAAATGGAGATGGAAAGACGCTCTTCTCCCCTGTAGGAACTTTCAAGACGAAGGCGATTTGCGAGCCTCAACAAACCCCGGCAGCCAACCCGGGGCTACGGGAGGGCAGGCATCCATGTTAGTTCGCCTCTTGTTGAAACGTCGCTTTTCAAGGCACTTGTCGTCTCAAATGCATGTCATCTGATACTCCAAACCATTCGCCGGCCAAGCAGCACGGGGGTATTTATCATACCGTGCATGAAGCCGTTCGCACTCTGATGGGAAATCATCCTCAACGGGTTGGAAATTCAAGTTCCTCTTCGGCCCCACCTTGAACACTGAGGTAATTGGTAATACTCCGCCCATTGCCTCTATGATCGTGGCTACGGGCCGAAACACTCCAACACCTAAGCCACCAGGCATGGCCGGTAAGAGGGGGGGGGGGGGGGGGGGGGGGACTTGCCCGGTGATGTGGGATTTTTTTTTAAATTATTTGGGTAATT